GGGGGGAGGGTTCCCCTACTAAAAGACTACAGAAAAAAGGGCACCCTTATTCTAACCTCTTTACTGGAGGACCTAAAAATGGGAACCCTAAGCTGGGCAGTTCCCATTTCCCTTTAACGCAGCCTGTGCCCTATGCAGTATTTCTGATGTCTGCTCTGAGGCTGGGCAGCTCGTTCTGGTCACTCCTGTCGCTGCAGGAGGCTGACCTCCTTTTTCCAGGAGCGGGGGAACAATACATCGCCGTGGGTCAAAACCAATGGGATCCCATTTTGGGGTAGGTGCACCACCCTTTTTTGGAACCTACTTTTGGTTGGGATTGGGATGTTCACTGGGGGTACGGCATTTTGACCCACGGCCACATCAGGGCAAAGAATCATGAGCTCACCGATCGGAGATACGAGCTCACCCATCATTCTAGTTCAGGGAGCAGGGTACTGTAGCGCAATGTAGCCCTAGTGAGCCCACTCACGGTGCTACGCCCACAAAGCACCAGAGGCGCCGAGCCATGGTTGGGGGTTCTGGCTACTTGTTCTTTTGCGGTTCTGGCTAGCCGACGAACTTTGCGATGCTTTGGTTTGCTCCTCGATAGCCCTCCAGGTGTTTTTCGTGGCGAGGTCTGCCTTTGTGCCAGCCGGATTGCTGCTCTGCTCACGGCCGGGGAGGGGCGGGGCTTGAGCCAGGGAGTCTGGGTGCCGGGGTTGTCGCTTTGGCGACGTTTTTGCGGCGGTCCAGCAGCTGTTCGGCTGGCAGCTTATCGATGGAAGCGACTTCTTTCTGTTTGCCCGCGTTCAACTGCGCCGCAACGGGCCTGGGCAGGGTACTTGGTATGTGGGTAGTTAGCCTGGTTATAACCCACTTAGGAGACTCATAACCATGGTAAGTGGGTTATAACCAGGCTTACTACCTACTTACTAAGTACCCTGCCCCTTTAAAGCAGTCCGGCTGGCCCAATTGCGACTGTGAGTTTCACGGTGGCTCGGTGTTGCTTGCGGTGCCGTTCACGCCTTGCGCTGTCCCATCAGCCCCCGTCCGGCTGGCTTTGCGCCAGTTCCTGAAATATGCACGTCTTGCCGTGCAAGGCTTGCACGTGTTCTTGCGGAACCAGTTCTTTTCGGGGGGCCCAGGCTGCCCTTCGTCGCTGCCCCACGGCGAGGTTGCTATGGCTCCTTGGGCCCGGAGGGATGAAGCTTCCGTTTATTGAGGATTGCTTCTGGGTCCACCAGCAATTTGGTGCCCTTTTACCGTTCCTTTTTTGGTTGGGAGGGTTGCCCTACTAAAATAGACGACGGAAAAAAGGAAGGGTACCCTTATTCTAAGCTCTCTACTGGAGGACCTAGGCCTATCTCCAGTTTGAGAGTCAAAAAGCAATTCGGCCCATTTTCTGGCTGATTCTCGGGGAGCGGTTTTGACTGAACCGTTGGGGATCCTCTTGCAGGAAACCACAAGGGATGGTTCAGTTCGGCCATTCCAACTCCTTCCTGAGGACTTCTTGTCAAACAGTTGCCAGTTGCACCTGGCCTAGGTTTGGTTCTTTGTTGCCGCGAACCATGATCCCACCTCGCTCTGCTTCCTTACCAGGAGCTGCGAGCCTTCTAACGCACAGCGAGCCCTGGCACGGCTGCAAAACGCAGCTGAACGGCCACAGGGAAGCCAAAGGGACAACCACGCGTTGTGTTTTGAGGGTACGAGAGCCATTGTTGAAGGGGAACCCAAAGGCAAACGACCATCTTGAGGTCCGCATGTTTTGACATTTGAAGTTTACCGTGGCTTCAGAAACGGCACTGCGCTTTACATGACACTCCCAAAGACGGTCGGGGCATTCCTGAAAGGCAGCGATTCCATGAATGTCTGCTGTCAGGGCGTGGAACATCAACTAGTGACCTGCTTGACATGGGCAGCAATGCAAACGAAACTGCGCATGGATCTTCATTGGTGTTGGCATGCCCTAACTGGGCATCACGCGAATGCCACACCAAAATGCAGCACTGGTGCTGGAAAGTCTCCAGTTTCTTCGACCAGACTAGAGCCACCGTGTGCAAAGAGTGCTGATTGTTGCATTTGGCGGGTCAGATCTCAACTTCGTCTTGCTCTGACACCGGTGGCTTTGGTCGCACAGTCTGACAGTGGGCTGCCATCCCACCAATGCACCTCTCGGCCTGCTTCAGATGCGAGAAAATGGCATGCAGTCATTTGGTCGAGTGCGTGAGCTTTATCTCCGAGAACAAGACCCACGGCTTTACCAGGTATATATATATATATAGATTTATTTATTGATTTGTTTTGTTTATTATTTATTTATTTATTTATTTATTTATTTACTTATTTATATATTGATTATGGATTAGGCCCACTGTGATACTCTTGGCGCATCCCTGAAAAACAACTGAGAAACCAGTCGTGGGGATGGGAATTGACATTGCTATCACGGAAAGGGAGAGGTTCCACAACCCCGAAATGTTCCGAAGAATCCTCTCCACAGAGTCCTCCTTCAGGGGAAGCCGGGGAAGCTCGATCTAGGATTGAGCAGCAGCTAGCCACCAGTCATTTCTGGGGTAGACTTAGGATACATTTTACATTTGATTAGTGACTCAAAGTCAAGCAAACAATAAAGTACACATTCTATAGCTGGGCCCAACTCTAGTCATGATTGAGGCCACTTCATTGCTTTGAGCCTTTGAACGCAGCACCACCCGTGCAGTGCAGGTTCAAAGAAAACCATGCTAGGACGCAGGGCCAAGCATGACCAAGCAAAGTCAGAGACGTTCAGACCAGCGGCAAGGATTCTTCGACCATCCTGTTTTCCTTAGGCTCAACCTGGACCTTTGAATCGAGTCGCTGATTTTTGAAGGCTCCAGACACTCTAGACGCTGACTCAAGTAATGCCATTGCGGTTGCCCTCAACCCATAGGCACTAAGTGAGCTTCACCATACTTTCCGTCTCGACGGCGGTCACTTCGCGCCATGCTACAGCTAAGAAAGAACAAGGTGGTGACAGATGTCACCGAAGGTGCTGACCTTAGTCACGACTTGCAACTCTCCCGCTCTGGGCAAGCACAAATTGCAGCGAGTGACAAGCAGGTCTACTTCAATGCTGGAAACATCCTGTATGACACCCTATTAATACTGGGATAAGCGACAATGCCAACTGGTGCAAAATGGATCTTGTCCATCCACGATAGAACCACACCATCGTGGGCTTGACTGCTTGATTGGCGTTACATTTGGGTCACTTAAAGTCATTACATGTTGAGGGTTTGGCGTTGGTTTCCCTGCAAGCCGCGCTTTCGCTCGTTCTTCTTCTTTTTGTTCGGATGTCGCAAAATGGGCCGAGAGATGCCGCGAGAACGGCAGGGCACAACAAGCTTCAATGCGAAGGCCAGGCGGTTCCCTTTCACCTGGAAAGGGAACCCTCAGAAAACGAGCGGCAGGGAGTTTGTCCGGATATGGCTGTGGTTGTCAAAACCGTTTTGGGATCCCATTTTGGTTGGTAGGTGAATTCGCCACCCATTTTAGAACCCATTTTAGTGGTTGGATTGGGATGTTCACTGGGGGGTACGATTTGGCTTTTGTGACCCATGGCCATACTGTGGATGATTCCAGGGGTTCTTAGGTGGTGCGAAATGGATTTTGTCCATCCACAGTATGTTCGCCTGTTTGAGGACCAGCGCATCCCAAGGCCAAGTTGAAATTCGGCAGATGGAGGCGAGCCCGCTGCCCGAGCATGCAAAGCCCTTTGCCCAGCGGTGAGAAACTTAAAAGCTGATCTACATCATGGTCATCGTCCATTTGCTTGAGATTTGTGTCTTCTTGATTTTCCCTTGTTGGTTTTCAAGGGAAATTATCACTACTTGAAATATGCTCTTTTTCTTTCCATGGGGCTTAGGCAAATGGAAGTCATAAGAGAGTCACGTGTGTCTTGTTATCTCCCCTACAGATTGATATGGATCCAAAATAGAAACGGCAGGTCCCCCCCCCACCATGTTGGAGTTTCAGACAAAGCTGAAGGGGAGTGGAGCCCAGTGACTGGATTTTCTCACTCCTTTGAAATGAGATACGCGCGGTCTTCATTTTGAGTCTTGATTCTTACAGGTTGGGAGCCGCGGAAGCGAAAAGCAACCGATGAGCTTTCCGCACTCAATCAACACTTGTGTAGATAGGTCAGGGACAATCCCAGCGGATATCCATTGAGATTCTTTACGTGGCTTAGACTTACGGCTTTTGATTTCACTCACCACATATCAAACAACGCACACAAAAGGCTTGGTTGGGCGGCATGTGGGTGACATCGAAATGGCATAGGTTTGAATGGAAACTTCAGAAAGCAATCACTTCCCGAGTTACGTTTCGCACCTTAGTCACTTTCTAGGTTTGGTCCATTTTGGTGGTAAACCAAACTGTTGGTGGTTTTCTTGGCCAGTCCACTCAGGAAGTGAGTAAGTTCGAGCTTTGAACATGTTGACTTCAATGAACCCACTGTAACTTGTTGGCTCCCAGCCATCCGGCTCCTTCGCTTTTTAGATCTTTTTTGTTGGCTTAGTGGTACGTAGATGTTTCGTGTTGAACCCATCAAAAGTGTTTTTACTTTTCGCAGGGGATCTAAGGGAAATGGCCCCCTCGCAGGTGGACTGGTATTGCGGCAACTACCAGACCATCTCAGGCCAATCTCCGGAACATTTTCAGAGATTCTACGTCTGGGTGTTGGAGCCTGACACTATGCGCAAAAATTGGAATTCGGCCCAGAAGTTTGGGGCCGTGGCTCGTTTGTAAGGGACTATTGACTGTTCAGGAACTGAAGTTTGGTGGGCGAAGTTTGCTCCACGATGTGCGATGGGTTGACCAACCCCGGCCTGGCGAGGCAAGCGCTGTATTGCAACACGGGAACCTCACGAAAGGGTTCCTATGGGCTCACGTCAATTGGGAGAGTAGCTCTTGGGTTGGCCAACTTGAGTTTTGTTTGCCCCTCACCCGTTTGAAGGACAACTCAGAATAGAGATGGATGAATGAGGGCGGCCTCCCGCCAAAAGATATGGCTCTGAGTTGTTTTTGTTTGAGTGCCCTTTACAGGTCGGTCAATCCAACGGGAACCCACCGTTTTGGGTTCTCCCTATTTCACCACATTGGTAAATTCTGGATTTTGCATTTGCAGTAGGGCCGGACTTCGCCCACGCCTGGCCAATTTTTCGGCTATGGCTATGCATGTATTAGTATGGGAACCCAGGATTCCTTGCTGGTGCAATAGGCAGGGCCTCTGGTTTCCTTTAAGGGAATCCTTTTCCCAACACACTGGGTCATTCCCTCCTGAGCACCAGCAAAATTAGCACCCCCATATTCCAAACCCCCGGTGGACTTTAACGATCAAAACAATACTAGCTACAACAGTGATAATAAACTTATACTGAGAGTAGTGTTATGCATGAACGTGATGAGAGTAATGCAGAACACATAGTAGTGATAATGACAATGACTGATACAGGGGACTATTATGATGCACAATACAATAGTAGCAATAGTAAACATGACACTGATGTTAAGCAATAAGCTTGCTGATAACAGCCATCACAAACAATGAACCATGCCGATGCAATGTACAACTGTATATACAACAACAGCAATGAGCAAAGACCAATAGTAGTGATAGACGGCACTAATTTTAGTCACAGTTAATCGAGACATTTACAATCAACAGCTATGATAATTCCATCCACATGGGGCGGGTTGCTTCAGGGGTCGGCGAGAGACGTGAGACGGGGCAGACGTGGGTCCGGTGCCGGGGTCCCTTCGGTCCTCATGCGGGCTGAGGGGGAGAGGGGGGGCGAGCCCAAACAAGCCCTAAAATACGGCCTTATTAAGGGCTTAAGGCTTATTTGGCCATGGGTCAAAAGCCAAATCGTACCCGCAGTGAACATCAACCAATCCAACCACTAAAATAGGAAGCCTAAAATGGGTGGCCGATTCACCCACCAACCAAAATGGGATCAACCAAAACGGTTTTGACCACCACAGCCATTTGGGCTCCCCCCCCCTCCGCCCGGGTTGGTTTCGGTCCGCCCAGGCCAGGCGGCGATGCTCGCGGGGTTTGCCTTCAACTTCCTCACGGCGCCCATGCCGAAGGGCGAGAAGGACCCGGCTTCCGCTCGGTTTCGGTCAGGTCGGCGGTTGGTCGCTCAGATGGGTTTATGGTTTCTTATGGTTTCGGAATTCGTTTTTTTTGGGGGGGGTCGGACCAAGGTGACCCTCGTTTTGGGCCCCTGGCTTTTGAAAGCCAGGCAAAAAAAAGGGGTTCCCCTGAGAGGTGTCCTGCGGGTTTCCCGATAAACGCCGACTGGAAAGAGGGTGCCCCTCGAACATGTTCCCACAGCCATGTGTGTATATATTTGGGTCTCCTCCAAATGGGGTAGACAAAATATGCACCATAATCTGAAACATGCTGTGTGTTTTGCACCCCAACCAACAAATATGGAAGTGCGCAACAAATCTGCTTTCTGCTGCTGCTGCGGTGCTGGCGCCAGGAAGTTAGGTTCAACCCCATTGGTCTTGATTCCAGGGAGAGTGAACATAAATCTAGGCCCTTAGGCCCTTCCATGTTCCCATTTGCCAAGCTTCCATGCTGGGTACCTAGTTTTTTCACCCGCCATCCTTCGATGCAGGGCCTAAGTTAGAATGGGGTTGCATTCTGGGCCCCATTCAACCAAATCACATGATGGAATCATGGGGCCAGATTGTTGAATAATCATTCCCGCAGCAAACAGACGCGGATCGCCCACCAGGTCTTCTTAGTCTGTAGGCTTCCGGGTGTTTAGGTTTTAGGGTTTTGGGTGTCGGGGGTTTAGACTTAGGATTTTAAGGGTTTGTGGGGTTGTCAGGGCTTTTTGAATGTGTCTTAATGGTTGTTTGTTTCTTTTGTGTTGCTTACTGTAATTAGTTGTTGGTTTTCTGTTTGTTTGTGTGTTTTTTTTGGGGGGGGGGGTGGGGGCGGCGGGGCCAGGGCGGGGGTTGGGGATTTTGAGGCTTGTTTCAGGATTTGTCGCGGGTTGTGTGATGGTTGTTTTTTGGTTTTGGAGCATTTTCAAGATGTGGGGACTCAGGTAGCCCTGAATAGGTGGTTTGGATTTGTGGTTTGGGGGGCCTGTTCTTCATCATAAATGTTTTTTTTTCTTCTGGTAATTACTGTGAAGCCCGGTTTACCACCCCGTTCCACGCCAGCGATTCCAAACCAGGACAAGCAGCAGCATCCGGCGCTGGAGTTCACGTACTTCTGGTGCGTCTGTGTGGCAATGGGCCTGGCAACTCAGAACTCCGACTGGGCATTCGTCGCTTTCTCCGGGAGTTTTTAGTGGGAAGACTCGGCGTTTGGGCCGTTGTTGGTTTCAACTGGATGCCTTTTGGGCGTTTAAATGGATGCCTTTGGGCGTGTGTTTGCTTAAATGGGTGCCATTTGGGCCATGGTTGGTTTAAATGGATGCCAATTTGGGCCAGTGTTTGTTTAGAGTATGGTTTTTTGTTCACTTGGATGGTCATGTCAGGGGACTTTTTCAGGGCAAGTTGCAACTCGGGGCTTCAAGAACCTGAAGTGCACCCGAAGCGAGTTTGGAGCCTCGAAGCTTGGTCCCACTCGCCCACTGGTTTTTTGTTTTTTTGCCGCCGGCTTGTTTCAACTTTCTTTGGGGGGAAGGGCTCCGGCTGTTTTGAAAACTCAACCGACCCACAAGGGTGCCGATTCTTTGTTTTTCCCGTGGAAATCCACCGGGCATCTGAGCATTTGATCCCCCAGCAGTGGGAAGGATAGCGACTGGCTGCGCTCTCGCGCCCACTTTGTCACGCAAGTCGCCAAGCGGCAGATTAGGCCCAACTATGCGTCCTCGTGCCGCATAGTTGCAGCTGCTACTTCCCGTTCTGTGTGGCATGCGTGAAGAAACAGGGTAAGGGAGTAGGCGTCAAGACTTTCAGTAGGGGATCGAAAACAAACCCATGGAGCACCACCCCCAGCGAAACAACTCCAAAAGAACTTCCCGGCGTGCGCCCTGGAAACTGCCCAAGGGGCCTCCCAAAAACGGCTGCAAAAAAAGCAGGACTCAAACCTCGCCAAAGCCTATTGGGGAGAGTCGTTGGGTCCCTTCAGAGGATACCCAAAAAGCGGTTCGTCTTTATCGAGGCACACCTAAGCGTCACCCGGACAGATGCTTCAAGGGGTCAAAGCAGTCCGAAATGTTTGAAGATTAAGGCCTAGTCTCGGATTTATGGCGGCTTGCCACATGGCGAAGGAGTTGTTCATGTCAGCCATTGTGGCAGTTTCAGCGGCTGTTGTACTTGGCTTTATTGGGTTACAATACCTCGCATCAACTTTTGTGACTCCATGTTGATAGAACCAAACGCATACAAGAGCATGCAGGAATGGAAGGGTTCCTTAGTGAATAAGCAGAGCATAGGAGTTGAACTACATGGGATATCGATCTCCAACCCCTAAGGTGTTTTCAAAGATCCAGACTTATTCACCGCCTCTTTTGAAGTAGCACGTGGCGAAATCATACGAATTGATATCTGCGCTGACTTGGCGTAAAAGAGGCATCCATCCGTTGCCCCCTTGGGAACACCTGGCACGGTGTGATGCCATTTGGGATGGGCTGGGAAGCGCCTGGTTGGTGACCTTGAGCTCACAAGGGCGCAGGGTTAGATCCAGCAACCCACTTCACCCCAGAAGTTCGCTTCTTTTCTTTTTGGGCAGCCGTCATTTTTGGGGATCATTCGTGGAAAATGAGTCGCTCATTCCCAGGCGTTTTCCCTGACCAGGGCTGTGGGAACATGAGTCGCTATCTCTTGGGTTCGTGTGTGGGATGTGGATGAGCCACCAGGAGCTTGGAAAGGTTCCTGTTGTTTTTGTTTCTCACCACCACAAATTGTGCGCACGTGCTGGTCAAAATGTACGCCCCACTCAAAATGCTTGATTTCACTTGGGTTCGCCTTTCACACCAATCACACCGGCCAAAACTCCCCCGAGCATCCAACCCGCCCGAGCAAGAAACTTACCGAGAGCCTCTCCTTCATGAAAGCGGGAAGAGCAAAACACCTGATATGTCGTTCAACAAACAACACAAACAACACAAGCGCAACAAACAAATCAAACAACAGCAGGGTTGTGGGATCAAGGGGTTTACCCCCACTTCTGTGATACAAAGTAATCCCCCTTTCTATGAACAATTTAGTCTTTGGGAAGCCCTTTCTGTTGTATCATAGAAGTGGTCATTCCCCACGGCCCTGAACAACAAAGACGAAGATCTGCGAGGCACAGAGCTGGGGGTCATCGTGGTGTCCAGCTATTTGTCGGTTTGGGCCCCCAGCCTAGCCCTGCCCGGGGCCCCAAGGCGTTTGCGCCGAATGGGTTGGGGAGGGAGGCGGGGGAGGCGGGGGAGGCGGGAGAGCTGGGCGGGGGGGGGGGTGGGGGGGTTGGGAGGTTTTTCTGCGGGAGTTTGAGGGTATGGAGTTTGAAGGGGAGTTGGGCGGGTGCTTGTTTCCTCTCAATTGGAAAGGTGTTTGATAGCGGCAGGAACACGGGCGTGGACAAGCAGCGGTTGTGTGTTTTGCTTTTGGAACTGATCTCCCCTAAGGTGGCTGCGACTCGTTGCCCCAAACCTCGAACGACCAAACAAGGCGCGAACACTGAGATTTCGGGTCCTCTCTGGTTTTCCTTTTCCAGAACCAAGCCGTTGAAAAAAATACCGTACCTTCATTTTGAAGGTGGCGCATCACATATGGTATGGGTACTGTGGTTGATAGGAACATTTGTTTGGGGAAAGGACACGGACCCGGCGGTCACTCACATTCACAAACAGCGGGGGACGCCAGGAGAAACAATCCACTTCGATCGGCTTTGGATACATGATACCGGACACTGTCAATGCTCTGTAACATGTGTTTTTTTGTGACAGGGAGTAGCCTATTGATTAGCAAGGTTTCCACGTAGCAACTCCATCGATGCGAGACACAACGGCGGCTGAGGAGAGGCAAGCGAGGCGCGCCGGACTTACACAAGGCCAGGGGGATGGTGAAACTGTTCATCGCACGCAGCTTGCTATTCTCAGCAGGGAATCACCAAGGATTTTGGGAATGAACCTGGGGATTCCCTCAAATGCTTTTTCTTTTCAGAACTCCTCAAGGGTCCGTTATGTTACGTTGACAACTGGGGCTCATTTCCCTTGAAACCTACCAGATGCGTGACTTTGATTACAACAAGTGAAAAAATCCTCTTGACCCAACTTGGCCCAGACAATTGGCTTCGGCCAAGGACACCCCCAAGGTCGTCAACATTGCAGCGGATTCGTGTCCACCATGTTGGAGAAGTTCCCTCTTGAAAGCTTCCATGGAGTTTCCGCGACTCCCTTCAAAACGGGAGCCATTAGTTACACATCATTGTGTTATTTCGTGTTCCAGATCGTACCGACCGTATTGAAGGGTTTATGGAGACTCCAGGTCGCCCGTGGTTCACGCGCCTTTTTTGCGGCCTTTTTCGAGCCGCAAGTGTTAACTTCTCGCCCTTGTAGCGAGACTTCGAGGCCTGCGACACGCTGCGGGACTACCAATCCCCGGTCTTCGCTTGCTTCATGGGCGGTTGGATCATTTACTTCGTGGCCAGCATCCTGCAGGCCGAAACAGCCGCGCGCTGGAACAACAACCACCGCCTCGCTTTCGAGGGGAAATTGGTTTGACCCGGACGGCTTTCCGGTTTTCATGTTAGTGGATGGGAGGGTAGCTAAATGGCTAGTACCCCTAGTTACAAGGATTTACATGTGATTAGCAGCGGGGTTGACTGGGGATACCAAGCACGTAGCTACCTCCCGGAGAGGTCAGTTCAGCCCCACAGCCATGGAAGATGTTCCTGTTGTAAAGGCCACCCACAAAACTTTGAGTTCGGAGCCGGCTCGAACAGACCCGGGAACAGTAAAAACACATTGGTCATTCATGTTGACCCCGGATTGATAACCCCCTTTGTGAATCAGGGGGCGTCCCCGGGTGAAATGTGGGGAATCAGACCACTTGAGGGGCCTCCACCCCCCAATTTGCATAAGCTGGGGTTGATTCATTTGGGGTCAACATCCATGGAGGCTTTTTCCACACCCGTAAGAGGAAGCTCTCGAGCCTCCCATAAGCCAGAGATCACAGACCATAGCCCACTCCCGGCAGGTTTGGATCTATTACCGGCACCACATCGCCGTTTGTGTGTCCGTGCCCTTCTTGGTCTTCACCTTGGCCATCATATGGTGACCTCTGCTTTTCAAATCCGCTCGTGCCGAACCTCCGAGCGCGCCATTTCAACTGGCGTCCTATTTGCGTCCTAGTTGAAGATTGAGGTTTCGCTCAACCCAATCTATTTGTGAAAACTTTGGTGCATTTTGCTTGGATGTTAGGACTTTAACGTTTTGCCATCTAATGGGTTTTCCATTAAACCACTTAAAGTTAAGCTTTTAGCAGGGTATGACAGCAAGACAGGGTCCGCGTCAGGTATCTTCTGGACCTACGGCGGAAGCTTAGCCTACCCGAGGATCAGGCACGCGATGGGATTGTATGAATCCAGCTTCGGCCCCTCCCCCCTGAATCCAGCAACCATCACCTGTCTAGACTTAGGATACATTTTACATTTGCCAGTCACTCAAAGTGAGGCAAACAATAGAACCTACATTCTATAACTGGGCCTAACTCTAATCATGATCACTTCACGAGTTATGAATTGCAAGTCTTCAGCACTCTTGCTGGATTCATCGCACTACCAGGAAATATCATTGATACATTGGTGCCTGTATTTTGCGCAAACGACCAAGACGGCAGGTACACTTTGGGCACCGGATTTGTTGACAGAAATTCGATCGCACTGGAACGCTTGCCCGAGGTTGAAGCCGCACCCAAAGTCAGGCCTACTGGTAGCCTTTCCTTTGCTTAGGCCCAGGACTGGTTTACAGAAAGGTCTGCTGATAAGGTCTGCTGATGATTCAAGGCTCCGTGCATTTTGGAAAATCCAAAAGCAGGGAGACTTGTTTGCAGAGGAAGCCAATGAGACATTGACGCATATAGGGGGTGCTTCTGATTGCGTCGCACAAGCACCACAAAAACACCACAGCCACACCGCCATGCGATGTCCCCGTCAAAAGAACACATGCCGCAGGTTGTGACTGGGAAGATTGCGCACTTTCAGCGCTACGAACTGATTGGGGACATTGATGATGGCCAGACTCTTAGTTTTTGAGAGGCCTTTTGCCTTCCACAGTTATGCTCAAGGTTGTTTTTTTTGGCATCGGGCTGGCAGATTTTACATGTTTCTTTCTTAGGCTTGGGAATATATATATATATATACATTATTTGCATGAGCGCAGAGCCTTTGGGCGAATCGGCCAGTGTTTCTCCCGCACCAAGGTTTGTGCTCCCACACCAGGGCCGCTTGGCAGAGAGACGGCCTTCAAAGTTGTTGGGTTGATAAGAAACCTGAATGGGGATATCCATTTGGCTGTGGGTCAAAACCAATGGGATCCCATTTTGGTTGGTAAGTGATTTCACCACCCATTTTAGAACCTATTTTAGTGGTTGGATTGGGATGTTCACTGGGGGTACGGGTTTTGGATTTTGACCCGTGGCCATTTGGTTTCGCGGAAACTGACATCAGAGCCATGAAGCTGGTTCCTGGCAACTGCTATCCCAGAGTGGATTCCACCCTTCGTTTGTCTTTTGGTGTCCAACCGGAGTTGGACTCAATCCCGAGGCTTTCAACTCTGCAGTTCGGTCACCCAACTTGAGAACGTGGGAGCTAATCTGTTTTATACTCAGCTCAGGTGGACCAGAGAACCCTGTTCTGGCCAACCATGGCCACTGCAACTAGCTGGCTGGGTTACGCAGTCAGAAACAAGCTGGCTTGCCAGCGTTGACGTTGCTGATTCTGGGAGGATTCATGTTCACCCCAACGACGTGTTCCTGGATTCTGGGGCGTCGTTGTTGCAAGCACGTTTCCTGACGGCAGTTTCATTTGCGCTGAACCATTAGAGTTTCTTGATTGATTCTTCAAAATGAGAAGCCACAAATTAAACTGCAGTTTCAGAAAGATAGGCCAGGTTGGGCACTTTGGGATACACCGTCGATTCGAGAATAAGAGGTTGGCAGACACAATTATAACACATGTATGTATATATATATATATATTATGTATACTATATTACACATAGGGGGTTGATCAAAAGGTCCTTGCAAGGAGTTACGTATTCGGTGACCATTCGTCTTGGCTTAAATCCCTCCGCGAAAGATCGGCGATGGAGTTCGCGAAAGAAACTTATTTTTTCGCGACAGATTCCGCGTTGGATTCTTGGAGCCATGCCTGTGCACTTACATATTTGCAGACCCCGCTCCCTTGTAGATAGGGAGATACGCAGCACCTTCATTTGCATTATTGATTCCCTGCCTGTCTTGGGAATGGTGCAAATCAATAACGTTAGCTGGGCTATTTTGGAGCAAGTTTCGCGAAAGATCCGCGAAAAACCGGCGAAAGGCCAGGGAGCTTGTTGCAAGGTTCCGCATCGCCGGCAAGCGCAAGTGGCAAGGGCGAATGACGGTGACTGCTTGCACTTAACACTACGTACTGCACGCAAGTGAACTGCGGCTACCGTGATTGCAAGCATAACTGCAGCAGCCATAATGGCTCCAGAGCGCACGCTGCAAACAAAAGGGCGTGGCGATGGAGTTGCGAAAGATTCGCGTAAGAAACTGTTTTCCTCGCGAAGATGGTGTTTTCCGGAAGCAGGAATATTGATCAACTGCCATATATATATATATGTACGTACTTACACAAGTGTATCATACACATCAAGTATTTCATTTGAATCCATGGTTGTCCTTTTGGTTTCAAGCTAAAGGTGAAAGGTGGACCGAGCATGAAAGCAACACACCCTGGGTGCGTGCTTGGGGCAGTCCACCAAGGTGAAAGAGGGACCTTTCGCTTCGTTTTTGAGTTGCTTGAGGCTGGTGGTGCTGCGGGCGACTACGTCCCAGTCGAACAGGAGTTTGTTCGCGGGATCAGAACTCATTTCGGGAGAAGCGGCGATTTGGAAGAACCTTTCAAGTTTGTGAATAGCCAGGGCAGTGTTTTCATATTGAACTTTCAGTTGCATGGAAAACACGCCGTCTGACTGTTTTGGGTTTCTCTTCACTTCTAAATTCCCCCCACTTGGCCTTGAACTTTAAATGTGGCAAACCAATGTAAAGCAAGCAACACACTTGTTTGTTGCATGCCTGTCCATGCCCAACCTGAGGCTGAAACGTAGAGTTGAGTTCTGCGTTCCTGTGTGTACCCGACCAGCAACGGGTGCTGGAAAAGACGCAAAGTGGTTTTGTTTTTGTCTTATTTAGATTCCGGATAGGTTTATTCAGGGACCCGAAACATTGGACAGGTTTCCCCGAAGAGCGCCTCGCGTGCTACTTTGTTTCTTTTGGCCCCGGACGCATGTGCTGCGTTGGAAGCAAACCCGGCAGAACTTGGCAATTTGTCTCAAAATAGGAGTCGGACCCCCCGGGGGTTGGCGGTGGTCCTATGCATGTCTTGTTCAAACCCCAAAAGTTGTTTCAAGACAAGACACGCCCGAAATGTTGTGATCGTTGCGTTCAAGTTCACGAACTCTTGTTTTTGTTCCCCGGCCGTGTTCTCGAGAGTCGCTCAACCAACACTCAGGTTGCATTGAACCATTCAAGATCGAACCGATGTATTCTCAGACACTCAGGTGTCAACACGTGGCACTGACGTACTGTGAATGGACGAAATCCATTTCGCACCACTTTGAAACCATGGGAAGCCATTGTTGGTACTTAAAGGGGAATCATTCATTCCACGATTTCTGAAAGGTGGTGCGAAATGGATCTTGCAACCATCCACAGTAGTATATTAGCTAGGTGACGTCCACTTTGAGACGCGAACAGGCATGTCTTCCTGGCAGGATCCATCCAGCGAGGAGCCAAAGCTGTTGACACTCCGGCCTGTTTCTCGAAGGATACCGTTGGGAGGATAGAGACATCGCCATACTTCCATTTGCTGAAAATAATATGTGTTGTTTTGCCTTAATAGTTTTCTCGGGAAACGAGCTCACTACTGGACTTATACATATATATATATATATATATATTGTTTTAGTTGTTGTTTTTTTTAGGGAGGCGGAAAAGCACATGGACGCATTCGATGCTTTTCCATAGACATATCTCTCAGGCAAACACCTCAAGCCACGGAAGCCTTGCAAAACTTTCTGCGACAGATGCAGGGTATGAGAAATGGAATGACCCCGAGAAAAGCCATTTCCGCATTCCCGATATATGGTTTCCTTTCAGGGGATCAAAGCAACTGGGTTCATTCCATTTCTCATTCCCTACTTCTCGCACCAAGAAACAACAAGCCAGCTGAAGCTATTGATCCTGGGCTTTCCCTGCGCGCTCGCAGGGTGAGTGGGCGAAACACCCACAGATCCAACTGAGAGCAGTAGCCGGGCTGCTGGTAGCCAAGCCCCCAAAGCTTTGGGGCAGCGTGTACCGATGCGCCCAGCGATTCACGTGCTCACGTCTTCCGCCCCAAGAAGGGGCAGAAAGCGTCGCCAAAATGCGGCTGCTGTGAGTTGAAACTGACATGTGCTTCACCACATGCCACTCTGGATTCATATTTATTTGTGCCTTTTTTGCCTTTGCCCCAGCATGTTCACCCTGTCACTTGCAGCTTGACAGTTGTCCCAGCGAGCTTATTTTGCACACCTCGGCGACTCGTCAGCGCTGCGCGCAGCCCAGTCATGCTCAGAGTCTTGCAGAGTACTCGCATCGCGAGCCTTTCCGGCCGCGCCAGCCTTGAGGCCAGCCTAGCGGCTGGGAAAGATAAATTCGACCAGGAAGGTTCTCAGAAACCTTTCATGAACTTCTCTCCCCCAGCAGTGCCCTTTACCCTTGTTGCGGGGGAGGGTTCCCCTACTAAAATAGACCACAGAAAAAGGATACCCTTATTCTAACCTCTCTTCTGGAGGACCTAGCTCTGGTGTTTTCTTGCAGCGATTGGTGATAGATGAGCTTACTTTGTCATATTCTGTGCGGCCGGCGCCAAAGGACACTTCAACAACTTTGCTGTCGGCTATGTGTTTCCACAGCTAGACAATGACCAGGACCAGTTCCATATCACCATTGCCAAGCCCTTCGACTCATGTGTTTTACTACCTGTGCATGGGCTTGGGGGCACCCTCAAGCCGGGTGGTTTTCCTTTGAGTTCCAGTTTCAACCCACTTCATGCCTGTTTTGGAGGGTACAAATGGCCCCCCATTTTTTTTCAGGGGAGCCATTCCGGTTCCCCCGTTTTGGAGGCTTCCCTCTGAGAAGATTTCCGCCTCTCCCCTTCCAGGCCATGAAGCGGAAGGCCTCGAACCTCTCGCCGGGCAAGAACCTGAACTCGCCGAAGCCTCAGAGGCTTCCTCCGGGCTTCACGGCTTAGGCGGCGTTGGGCGACGAGAGTCCTGGCAGCGACTCACGGATGACGCTGAGCAGAAGTGGGTATGGGTCAGAATTCAACCACCAGGGTTCCATTTGGGGTACCTATTTGTGACCCACAGCCAAGTAGGTTATGAGATGTCCCATGGTGGCCTGGAAACCGTGATATACCCTGGATCCATGTTGCCCCAGACTTTTTCCTCGGCCTGGGTCGAGAAAGAAACCCCGCGCCTTGTCGTTATGTAAGGGCCCGTCCCGAAACTTTCATTGCAGGCCCGGAATACTGTAAACCGATGCTGAGGAACACACTATACCCATAAAAGCACGTACAAAAGCCATGAAGAGACATATCAGGTCCAACGTGTTGTCGCAAACCAAGATTGCGAAATCAGACATTTGCAGGGCCCCAGCCGATACCCAAACCGATGCCCAATCGATACCCAACTCATTCGCCGCCATGCCGGGTCCAACCAGCCCTGGACTTTCGGGTCACCTGAGCAGATTTGAAGTGAGTTGCTTTGTGCAGTCTGGGCCCCGAGGGCTTTGCTTTGCTTCGCATTCTAAGATGTTCACTGTCCCGCAACGACGATCCGCGAAGGACCACTTCAAGTCTATGCCATTTTTCCTATTGTGGCTACAGATGTAGACATGTATGGCTATTATTTTTTTTAATGGGGGAACCCCGCTGAAAGAATGATTGGTTGACACAAATCACCACCGAAGTCTGATGTCCACTTTGGGTCCCTCATGAAACGCACAGCCATGCACATAGAGCAGCTGCTCCCGTGGTTTTTTCCACGCTGGCTCTTTTGGGCCGCCGCGCTGCGCCTAGGGCGTACCCGCACTTCCAAACTGCTGCCGAGATGTACGCGTGGCTTGGCCGAGACGTCCCCGGAACCATGGGAGCGCGAGCTAAGGGAAGCTGCCCCATGTCCAGGGAGCTCTTGGAGGAAAGCCCCACCCGCACCCAGAAAAAGGGCGAAAGGGTTTTCGGAAAGAGTGATGGTGGAGAAAAATGGGGGAATCAACAAGTAGAATAGTGCGGGCTCCCTTGAAAGACACATAGGCTTCATGTAAGTCCATTGGACACGGTTCCAAGGAGCTCGTAGTTCCTGAGAACCCAATCCTAGGGTGCAAAGGATTATATTCAGTTTTGCGTGAGGCCTTGCAATGCCATCCAAACCAAACCCACGCCCAAGTTGCTGGAAAGATGTCAGGGAGCGCAAAACCACCAAGGGAAATCAAGTGTGAATATATATATATATATATATATAATGTTTCCAATATCCAGAGGGTTGCCTTGGTCCTGCTTGAGCAGCGGAAACCACCTATTGGATTGCCAACATGACTGAGCAGAATCGAGTTGAAATGTGTTGCCACACCGCAGGCATATTCGCAGCATCACCTCTGAAGGTGGTGCACTCAGCAAGAATGTGAATGCAAGGGCAATTGAGGCAGGGAAGAAGGGACCATCGCTCATTCAGGTGCCCTTTCTGTTGCAGTTGCTGCTTCTTGAAGGTCAAAGTCTCCCTAGTCCGTGTGGGCATGGGTTTTGCTTGTTCTCTGGTTCAGCATGTAGCAGGGGACCCCAAAATGGATGGTTTTCCTGCTGGTTCCCTGTAAAACCACCAAACACGGGGGGAACTACCGTCAGAAAAAGACGAGCCACCCATATGCTGTATCGGAGAGGCATAGCCCTCGTGCCCACAACTTGGAGGTGTTAGCGTCGAGTTGCTCCCAGGATTTGCTTGCATGGCTGTGATAGCTGCGAGGATTGATTTCAGCAGCATCACACATTTGAAAGGAGAGAATGAGGCGCGCCCACCTAAGGCCTCAAGAGGTTTTGCTACAACAGGTTGCAGCTTGCGCCAAACGGTGTTTGTCATTCCCCAGACAAAAGGATGCGCCCAGCCAGAGAAAAACATCCGCGACAGAACATTATCAAAAGACCGGCAGCGGCTCTGCAGGGTTGGGCAGGAGTTCAAAGCACCGTCCCTTAGAGAAACCAACAGGAGGTTCAATCAAGGGGGTGAAACATGGTTCTTGACTGCTATTGGGTTGGATCTTTAGACTTTATTAACTAGCTTTTTGGTTGAAATCAAGCGGTTTTCCACTAAACTCCCAAAAAGTTAAACCTTTTGCAGGGGGGTCAACCGCAACCAAGGGTTGTGGGTCAAAATTAGTCACCAGCAGGAATCGGACCGCAGGACTTAGTCCATTTGCCTTGGGATTTATGTTGGAGACGTGCTGTGGGTGGGCGAAATCCTGCACCACCTGAGAAACTCTGGAAATCACCGATTCCCCTATAAAAATACCAATGAACAATGGGTTTCCCATGGTTTCCAAGTGGTGCGAGAAGGGGAGGTCGTCCATCCGCAGGATGTTTGACCCACAGCCAAACACGTTCCCAAGGTTCCCCAGGTGGGTTCCCCAGAGTCGGGCGCAATGGGCGCCAGAGGCGGTGACTACACCGTGCGCAACTTTGTTGGGGTCATCGAGGCGCTCCAAGGGGCGGTCGAGCCAGGGCTAAGCAAAGGCTCCGGGAGGAATGGCTGAAGGAACCCTTCAACAATTTTTTTCGCTGATCCCGAGACCAAACCCCAAAGAAGTTTGGCAGTTAAGCAACTTATTTAGAGCTTACTTACCCCCTGATTTATCCTTGGTGTGTGTGTGTGTGTTGTCCTTCAGGGGTATGTTGCAGGGGTCTGGTGGAACCTTTGAACCCTGGTTCGGGTTCACTAGGTGCTCGATGGGGGTTGTCGAGTTACTCTCAGCTTCCCTCCCAAGTTGTCATGGCACCTGAAGGAAAAACCAGGTGCGCCTTCAATCATAAAAACCAACCACAGGAACAGATTTCTACGGGAAATTGGCCCAACACCCACCAAAATCATGGCTTGTCATTAGGCATTCCCTGCTCATTTCCTAGATTCGTAAAGATCCCACGGCCATGTGGATCTTTCTTTTTTTTGTTCTTTCTGTGTGCAGGGAATGAAGTGATGTCCTATTTTTTCCGCTGCTTGTAAGGTATGGTTCATTTTCCCCTCTGGTTTTTAAAGGGAACCTATTATCACTACTGAACCAATATGTTCTCATTTTTTTTTTAGGACATGAAGAAGCAAATGGAAGTTCCGAGTCACTTGGGCTTTGGGGACCTGACAGCGGAGATGGGCAGACGGCTGGTGGCGGTGGAGTTGGGCAAGTGCTATCACTCCCACATGGCTGGGTCAAAAATAGGTGCCCAAGATGGAACCCTGGTAAATGGAAACATGGACTAAAACCTGCGGTCCGCTGGTGGCTTAATTTTGACCCATACCCACATTGCCATGGCACCTGAAAAGGAGTCCCTACAAAAGGAAAATGATTTTCCAGGTAGCCTCCAGGTGTGATTTGTTAGTGGAAGGATAGTTGTTTTCATGGTTCAGCGAAGGCTTACCCCCAAACACGCATTTTTTGTGTGGAAAGGGAAACCAAATTGGAGTCTACTAGAATCCCTCCAAGTTTGTTTTGGGATGATTTGAACCGTCTTCCACGTTGCGATGTCAACATGTCTCCAATCCACTGCAGAAACCGCCATGTTTTGGCTTTAAGATGTAGCCCTATTTTCAGGAAGCTCCCACACTGTTCTTGTCTTGTGCAGCCCCTGTTCAGTATTTGAGTTGCAGCAGTAAAGGGGATGACATGGGCACGCCACCAAAACTAATTCATGTCATTTGGGGACATGCGAAGTGACCCTAGCTCATTTGCCTTCCGGTTTCCATTGTTTCAGTTGAGCAAGACATGGCAGGGCCCAAGAGTCCCGCAAAAAGCAGGGGGGGTCAGTTTCCCCATATGGCTGTGGGTCAAAAATGTGTACCCAAAATAGAAGCCTGGTAAATGGAACCAAGGACTCAAATCTGCGGTCCCCCTGGTGTTTTAATTTTGACCCACGCCAATATCCTTCTGGGACAACAAGTCGTGGTGTCCGTGGCTCGTATGAGTTTTTTTGTTTGTGGCAAGGACATCTCGGTGGAAAAGTCGATGGTCGAGCAAGGGCCTTAGCATGCAAACATGATGCTGGCGTCGAAACCTTCGATTTGCTTCTGAGCACTGGGCATGCCGAAATGCATGCCTCGTCGACAGAAAGGAATATGTGCACGATGTCCCAACTACATACCCATCGGCACTCATGCTGTTGAGCTCCGCCTAAGGAAAGCATAGGTGTCGTTGTTGGGTTATTTTGTCGAAAAATAGATGGGTTTCCCTGGTTTACCTGGTGGTTTCATCATCCACCAGTGAAACCCATCTCCTACTGTGGATGGACAAAATCCTGCACCTGAGAAACCCTCGAAATTGGCCTGCAAATATCAACAAACAATGGTTTCAACCATGGTTTCAAAGTGGTGCGGGATTTTGTCCATGCACAGAATTAATCAACCCCAGTTCATGGGGGCGTCCCTGGGTGAAATGTGGGGAATCATCACGTGAAATGTGCGAAGCTTCTCTTGGTTTCCCACAGGAAGGACAGTCTCTTGGAGAAGCCCCGACGGCCGAACTTCCAGCGGCCCAGGACGGAGCTCTTCCCTCGCGGGGCGCTGGAGTTCTATACCAAGAAGAACATGGGCGCAGCGCTTAGCCGGATGCGGAGAACAGATCTCTGGGTGAATTTATAGCGACCTGACACGACCTCACCCCAAATGGTGGTTTATGTGGGGAATATCCCTCCCACCACCTTATTTAAGGCTGGTGAAATATTATAATTCACCCAGAGATTTGGGCAGGGTTCCACTTTTTGACTACCCCAAGATAGACTTATACCCAGGGGTTCTCCTTTTGGGGGGAATGAACCACCCCTGAGTTTGAGTCTATCTTGGGGTAGTCAAAAAGTGGAACCCTGGACCTGGTGGTTCCCAGCCATCAGTTTAGCTTTGTTTTGCCTTTTAGGGTTTTGTGGCGGGGGTTCCAGTCAAACAGGTCTCTAGGGGCTGATTCCTTTTCCATTCTTTTCAGCCATCGTTCTTTTCAAAAACCGGATCTGTTTCCAACCTGGGTTTTTGGATGGTTTCCGGAAAAGAAGGATCCATGGAAAGAATGGGGAAGGTACCCCAAGAGATCTTGGTGGTTCCCAGCCATCCCCGTAGCTTTTTAGCTTTTTAGGGTTTGGTGGAGGGTTTCCAGTCAACCCACTCTTTTAGCAGGGGATCTGAGGACAGCCAAGAAATGGCAAGATGGATTTTTGGAGTACCCTGCAGTAGCTAGCTTCTGAATCGCGCCAAATTTGATGTAACCTGCTCTGACTCTGTGCACTCGGGGAATTTGCCGACGTGCATGCACGTTCGGAGCTCTTGCCCACAAAACTGGCTTTTGAATTGGGTCAAATGTTCATGCTGCCTGCGTGGTTCATGCGCGTTCGGATTTTTAAGTTGAAGGGTCAGTGGAGACATTGCCTGCTGTTGTGGTTGTGTGATTGAGGTTGGCAGTACACGCAGGAAGAGTATGACAAGTGGTTTATGCCGGAGCGCGGAGGCTGGCGTGTGAAGTTCAGTTGGCATGTGCATCGGCATGGGTGGACTGCCAGACAGCTTGCTCCTACTGCTTCTACGAGTTTTCATGAGGTGAAGTCTAACAGTGAAGTATAGCCAGCCACTAGGCATACACCCGTATTCCTCAGCCAAGGCTCAGGCTCAGGATGATGGGGATCGTTTTGCGGAGATCCTTGAATTTATGTGCATGAAGTTCCATGAATCAGTATGCAGTATCCAGCTCCATGAAATCATTCTGAACTTTTTGACTGGATGATTGGAATCTTGATAGGTGAATCACCCTCCAGCGCGCACAGAACGCCTTGATCTATGTCAGAAGCTCCTTTTTTAATTAAGTTACTCTGAGTATAGCTTGGCAACGCTTTAGCACCGTCCAGTGAAGCTTGCGAATGTGAGAGAGAGGGAGAGAGAGCCGGAGAGAATGGAGAGAGACAGAGAGACAGAGAGTGAGAGAGACTGAGAGAGGGGGAGAAGGATTACAGTGAGAGTTTTTTGAAGCCACGCAGGTGATCAAGGCGACTATCGTGACGGTATGCAGGAGCATAGTTGTCGCTCGGACAGTTGAAGACTGTTCCGACCACCCTCTCTTTTCTCCCACAACGTATGAATCTGCTGGGGGCTGTTTTGCCTCTTTGGGACAGTGCTCTATGCTTTTGCTTGTTCACTTATGACTGTGGTGAATTTGCGTCGGAATGCTCTACGTGGCGAATCAACGCGCCAAGCACTTTAGTTATTCTTTTGGGCAGCCAGGGTTAACAACATCCGTGGGTGGCCATACGAACTCCCCAAGTGACCCCATGGCCATACTTTGTTCCATGCTTAGCCAGGCCAATCCGAGCGTCACAACAAGCCCAGCGGTGGAGCTTGTGGTTCGGTCTTCGGTCATGCCCTTTTTCCTCTCTATGTTGGGGGAGGCCCAATTCGTGGGTGGTTTCCATTTGGTTCTGAAGAACTGAGTCCCGTTCCTGGTTGCTTTAGAAACTGAGACGGCTAAAGGTGGCACACTACAAAAGAAGAACTGAGCCCCGAAAGAAGAACGGCGTCCCGTTCCTGGTTCGTGACTGAGGACGACCAATACAGGAACTCCACAAACTCGTTTTTAATCGAGGAATCGAGGGAAGTGAGAGTGAGCAAAAGGACAGCCCGTTTTTCAGCTTCCCCTAGTTCAAGAAACACCCACTGGTGAGCTGCGGCAACCCTCTGCAAATTAGATCAAATTAACTATGTTTGCGAGTTGGTTGCTGGTTCATACGGTCACTTTTTTTACAGACTAGTAGAGAGAAGACGTCCCAGCTCCGCAACAATTTGAAACCATGTCTTTGACTGCAGGAGAAGATCGCCAATGTCATTGCTTGCCTAAAGGCGGAGCCCAGGCCAGAAATCACATCGCAAGCGCCAGAAGCAAGGTGCAAAGCTGCGAGGTCCAAGCGGGCCATCATTCCCATCCCCTTCTCCTCAGAAGGCAGGTCCGTATCCCGTGCCCATGGGCTCAGAGATGACTCAAGCGCCAGTGCCAAGGAAGAAGAAACCGCTGCAGAGATCCGACCGATTGCGAGTAGATGAAATGACGTTGGCGTTTTTGGGGGATGCCGTTGAGGCGTTTAGGTTTTTTCGGGCCCGAAGGTTCTTGTTCTTTGCGGCCGAGGAGCCGTGACAAGTCACCCGTTGAGATGAAGCATTAGATGGTCTGTCAACATCTTTAGCAGAGTCTATGAGGTGTACACAACATGAGTCCTGCTCAAAGTCGCCACAGCCGCAGGTAGCAAGACGGTGGATTGGACGAATCAGGGGCAGACCAAGTGCTGCCGCGAGCCAAGCGAAAGATGGGAATCGCAATGCCAAAACCATAAACTATCGCAAAATGCGCAGGAGACAGTCCTATTTCAACCCTTGAAGCACGCAGATGGTTTTGTACTAGAGGTTGTGTACCAAAGTTGGACGATTCAACCCCCTATTTAAGCCTGTTTACACCTCTTGTTTAAACAACCCCGTTTGGTTCCTTTCTAAAGGTGGTCAGGGTCTGGCACAACCAGCCGTGTGTACTGAGTAGCTGGCTGACCATGTCTTCGCAACACAACCGCTATCTCACCCATGCAAACACGAAAGACTTGGTTCAACATAGGGAGTTATTTTTTTGGAACTCCTGTATCTCAGCCACAACGATGTTCCCACTGCGTAGATCAAACACAGCAGGCTTTGCGTGAGGTGTCGCATGTCGTTTGCGGTTGCTGCAGATGCTTGCTGCAACGGAAACCGTGTGCTGAGCTTGAATGTGTTGGGCTTTGCCCTCGACTAGAAGTTCAGTTTTCCTCAAGTGAAACTCCTGAACTATGTACCGGCTCTGTGTTCACTTGAGTCATAAAGACGAGAAACGCTCAGATCTATTCGCACAATTAGGTGCGAGATGTACGTAGCACTGCAGACTGAGCGAGAAACCAAACACAGAAGACAGCTGGTGAAGAGCACAGATCTTTCCCACCCGACGACGTGATCAAACTGAAAGCTTCCAATTGTTGCGTCCTCGAAGATGGCGGCCATGTTCCGAAAACCGAACCTTTGACGGCAATTCACTGCTGTTTGCTTCAAGTTGCTCCCAGGATTTGTGTTTGAAAAAACATGGCTGTGGGTCAAAACCAACGGGATCCCATTTTGGGGGTAGGTGAATGCACCACCCATTTCAGAACCTATTGGGATGTTCACTGGGCGTCACCGGGATTTTGACCCATGGCCACAATGAGTATGGGTCAAAATTAAACCACCAGGCGACCGCAGGTTGTAGTCCAGGGTTCCATGTACCATGGTTCCATTTTGGGTACCGATTTTTGACCCATGGCCACATGACTGCTCATTTGCCTGGCACAAGATGGACCCCCCGAGGTCGCGAACTGCACTTGTACATCGAGGCGTGAGTTTGAGGGGCGAGCTCGCGTCAGGGCATTCGATTTTATCATTCAGCAATCACCCAGCCAGCGGACACACTTTACACTTTTTTCAACTTGGTGGCTCTCCTTTTATTTTAGTGGCCCAGAAAGTGAACGCTTTTTGTGGGCTGGTCACTAGCCAAGTGAGTCAGGGCATCGACATATTCGGTTCGCGCGCAGGACGACAAGCTGAAATGCACCGGTATCCTGAGGATGCAGAATGCCCTGCGCTGATGGGACGAGCATTTGAATTTTCCCAAAATGGTGGGTTCCCCCAACATGATTGAGTTCCTTGTGGCTTCCCTGCCATTTTTTCGAGAGGACGTCACAAACAAATTTGAACTCATTTTTTCGAGAGGACGCCACAAAAAATGACTTGACGCCAGCGAGGATTCGCCCTCTTCGGCTGAGCGCTGAGGCGAGCATCTTCCCGAAGAACATCCACTTCTTCTCGACCTTGCTGTGCCATGTGGGCAAAGAGCTGGAGCGCGGCGCTTGGAGAAAAAAATGCCGACTCCTGAAGGACACACTAAAAAGGAAGAAGAAACCAAACGGTGGTATTCCAGCCCAAAAAGAAGCACAAAAAGGCGACGCTCGAAAGAACACACACTCACACAATTTTGTGGGTTCGTCTAATTTCTCTTTGGGGGGCTTTCCTTTTTTGGAAAGCCCCGAATCTGGAGACAAGCCCTGCACGATTTTTACAACTCTCTGCCGCCGTTTTCTATCCGAGGATGCCTTTGGGCGAGTACACTCATTGGATCACGAACTTGTGTCCGCAGCTCAGCGTCAAAGCTGTTCGCGTTTTTGCGCCCGTTCCGACAGGCCATGACAGATCTGCCATTAGCTGCTGAAGCGCCCCTTAGGAGATGCGTGTGGCCGGAGTTTTCTGTGGCTCCTAAAGGAGCACTCAATGTTCGACCTACCGCGCAAAATTGATGGGTGTACAGTCTTATACAAAGATTGTAGGGAGTGAGGGTTGCCTCCTCTCCCAATCGGCGCCCGAGAGCGAAAGGGAGAGAGCGATTTTGCCATTTACCCATACTGTGGATGGACAAAATCTCTTCGCACCACTTTGAAGCCATAGACAACCATGCACATCATCATCCCAGGGTTTCTCAGGTGGTGCAGAATTTCGTCCATCCGTATCATTGACATTACGGGCGATTTGGCTCATGGCGGATCGGTGAAGTGGGTCGTTTTTGCTCAAGGCTTCAGTTTTGGTTGAGCGGCTGGCCGTTGCGAAGCACATGCCCAGCTGGCAGGGATCTTGAAGCCATGGCAGCCACGAGCGCGGCTCGACGTTTGAACCCCTCGCCCCAAAAACGTGCACAGAGAGAGAGAGAGAGAGAGAGAGAGAGCTTGACAGCTTTGTTTGTTTGTTTCTCTACAACTAGGCCCTGAGCGTGTAATTGTTTTATGACAAAGGAAGGATTGCACAAAAGTGATGTATGCAACGCACCCTTTGGAAGGTCAATAGTTTGACACATTAGTGTGCCAGGGCATGCATGCGCACTGGGCATGCATGCAGTGGATTTGCTGGCATGCAGCTGAGGCCCCGTTTAAGGCAGGAGACGATGTGCTCGTCTACTACCGAATGGGCAAGCAATGCAGACCTGATCGGAAGTACATGGTCTGAAGCCCAGGAACAGGAAGACAGATCCTGACGAGTGTGCACGATAAACTGGAAAGATAACAAGAGCAACTGACTGCTGGAAAGATGTCGCATTGGGTGTTTGCAGTCCAGCCGCAGCTCAAATGATTGCGGTCAATAGCACGACTCAAGTTCGGCTTGTCAATAGCTGCACTGAGAAGAGCCACTCTAGGACCATGTTAGTTAGATGTGCGTTAAGCTATACTACCGGTATTGTTGCACATAAAACGTCTGAAAGCTCATCCGATTTCTACATGTGGGACATGGACACTGAAAATGGATGTTTCCGCGTTCTCGTCCCTAGCCATTCCAAGGACTTACCTCTTAAAAACACAACTTTTCAACTTGTTGGGTAACATGGGCTATATGTCTGTAAAAGATTAACTTCCCCAGGGCTTGGAGTTTTAAGGGGTAAGAGGAGTTCCACGTCCCTTTTTGGAGCCTCCAAAAGTAGCGATTGAACCCAATGGAACCCGCCAACCATGTCTTGTCGCGGTTCTTTGAGGGGGGAAAAATCCTGGGAGCCCAGAAAATGTCCAGAAATGTGGACCCCGAAAAAGAAGAAACAACAAAAAGATGTGGGACCCCTGGGCCCATCCGGGACGCGCATTTTCCCGGATTCCCGGCGTCCCTTCCGCTTCAGGCAGTGCTGGACCCCAGAAACGGCTCCTACCGGCCCCGCTACGGCATCTCCGACGGCTGGGTGCCGGCGAAGGTGGCGCAAGACCCGGAGGCGAACGGGGACGTGAAGGTGGCGTACACCTGGCCCTACTTCTTCACTCAGACGCCTGGCTTTTGGGGGGTTGTTTGGGGGGTTTTTTGGGGGTTATTTGGGGGATTTGGGGGAATGGAGGTTTGGGGGTTGAGTTCTTGGATTGGTGGGAAATGCCACCGGACCCGTAAGTTTGAAATTGGTTTTATCCGGATCCCTTAAGGGAAACCAAAGGGAGCTTGTGTAAGCAGTGGCACTTTTTCCAAGCATCGTGGAAGTGACTCATGGCAGGTTTTTGGAAAACTATCTTTTTGAAGAGTCACGACGGCCACTTCCATTCCATGAAAAGCAACCTTTGGTTTCTCAAGCTTGAGCGCATCTTTCCATACGCTGCGTGCAACTTGACCGGGATTTTGGACCACAGAGCCGTCGGTAAATTCCATGGCGATTCGAAATGGGTGTGGCTCAAAATTAACCAGGAGGGGTTACGCAGGTTTTGGTCCATGCTTCCACTTACCAGGGTTCCATCTTGGGTACCGGTTTTTTGAGCCACGGCCAAATGAGCTTGCCGTCTGAGGAGAGGCAACATGGCCGACAGGTTCAGCACATGGTCCGAGTGGTACGCGCCAAAATATGTGCAGCCAAGTAGAGGCGACGGGCCGCGGCAGCATACTTCCTTTTGGTTAAGAATATGTTTGTATTTTCCCCTGTTGGTTTTGAAGGGAATCTATCACTACTGTTTTTTTCTCCAGGGGACTTAACAAATGGAGGAATAGGGACTTAGACCCCCAAAAAGATGGTCTTCCTTTGATTTCGGTTTCCTTTTAAACCAACTAAAGAAAGAAGACCCTCGGAAAAGAGAGACACCCAAATCTGGTGAAGTGCTGCTGGTTTGTTCAGGAACCCGGCTAAGGAGTACACGGCTTGGGATGGATGTCCGAGCGTAGAACCCCATAATTGGGTCCAGTTGTCCACAGGATATACGGCTGAGGATGTTCCTGGGCTGTTTTTGTGAGCAAGAAGAAAAATCCCAGCATTTGGGGACCTAAGTTTCGTTACCAGATGGCTGTGGGTCAAAACCAATGGTACCATTTTGGGGTAGGTGCACCACCCATTTTAGTCTATTTTAGTGGGGATTAGGATGTTCACTGGGGGTACGATTTGGATTTTGACCCCTGGCGATATATCGACATGTCGCTTCCAACCAAAGAACTACCAGGAGGATAGGACCTAAGCCCCGAGGCACCCTCTCATGCGCTGGAAAGCCTGGAGGAAGTCCCATAAAAAGCCGGCGCTGCTCAAAACACGAGGTGAGTGACCGGGTGGACCGTAAATCCCCACTGATGTCCACTGGGTCCCCGTTCCCCAAGAGGGAGGATTTGTTGTTTTTATTATGAGTTTCTACATATATATATATGTCTGTATATATATATATATGTATGTGTTTTAACAGCGATGAGTCAGGCCTCAGAAAGCTCTGCGCCCCATGTTTGCCTTTCAGAACCTCGCGCCACATCCACATGTCGGTTTAACTCGTTCAAAGTGTGGCAGGAAGCTGCCAGCTATAAGCATGTCCCACATGTTAAATGCTAGGCTACGTTGGTTTGCAGTGATTTGCTTGCCGCCCGTATGTATCTATACTAGTTATGTTATGTGTATTTGTATATATATATATATACATACATACATACATACATCTGTGTGTGTGTGCATGTAACATCCGTATTGTATATGATCGTTGTTATTCTTTGCTTTGCAGGCGAGAAGGAGTTGGCTTTGAAGGAGCCTAAGCTGGCAGCTTGGACTAGAGTTTGGCATGGGCCGGCTCAAGAGGAAGGAGTCCTTAGACGGGGTGCAAACTCAATCCTTCCTTATGGCATGGGGGTTGGAGGGGAGGGAGGGGAGGGGGAGGGAGCCCAAATAAGCCCTTAGCCCTTGATAAGGCCTTATTTAGGGCTTTGGGCTCCCTCCCCCTCGCCTCCCACCCCCCCGCCCCCATGATTATGGCGGGTGGTGGTTTCCCTTGTTGGATTTTGACGTCTTACTAGGGATAACAGATTGGGTCTCCCCCATTTTCTGCAATGGATGAGAATGACTATTCGAAATTAGCGCAGTGGGCCTGGCATGGTTGGCGCAGTTTAGACCTAAACACCGAAGGAAGCGAAAGAATTCAGACCCGAAATCAGATCGCCCTTCGTCGATGGTTTGGATGGGAGACTTGAACCCCTGGTAGTGCGTAAACGGAAAGCCAACCCAACCTAACCTGCGAACCACCAATCCAAACAAAGTAGGGGAAGCTGACTACACGGATTCCAAGAAATTTGTTCCTATCGGTTGCACTCGAATCATGTGTAACCACTCAACCCATTGGCCACACCGGTCAAGCAAACCATCTACGCATCCATAGGCTTATGCACCCGGATGCATTTTCCATGGCGGACACTTTGTCGCTAGGCACCAGTATGGCCGAGAGACCACCAAGCCCAACCAGGGTGAACTGGATTTTGCTAATCACAGTTGCGAGTTCCCCTTTGTTGGTAGGAATCATACGAAGACGGGGACATGATTGCAAGTTGGGGGTGCGGGCGCTTTTCTTTTTTGACAGTTGTTGTTGAACCGGTTCGATGATGCAATACATTTCCTGAGGTCCCGTGATTGACATGTTCCTACCTGATACTTCCGGCATCAGTAGGTTACGTTTGATTGATCAGAACATCATCGGTGCTTTGTCACGAAAAGGCTGAGGGCTGGAGAGTTTCTGAATAACCAGAAGGACCTTTTCACATCAAGGAAGCCATGCAGTTCCGGTGACGCACCCTTCTGTTTCAAATGGGAAAGCTGCACGGAGATGGTGCTTCATGATTACACACACACACAGAGAGGCCTGTGTGTATGTATATAAATATATGTGTATGTGTGTTTGTGTGTTTCGAGGGTATTTTTTAGCATGGGCCGCCATGGAAATGGCCATCCTTGATGGTCTCAAGAAAAAACTTTGTTCCTGGACTTTAGGCACTTTTTCTGGGTTTGGACCACATTTGAGGGCATCCTGTTAGGGCATCCATTTAGTCACTGGAAATCCACTGGGCATCTCTGCATTGGATTTCCAGCACATTTGGACCACATTGAGTCACTTTTTCTGCCACACTCGGCTGTGGCAAAACAGGTTCCTGGGGACGTTTTTCTTCCCCAGAAGTACTTCTCCTTTCATATGTTTTTTGCTTTTTTGGTGGTTCCCTTTATTTTCCAACCAGGCAAAACATATATTTTTTGCTGGGGTCCAGAAACTCCAGCCAAGTTTTGTTGCGGCATCTTGGGTTTCCAGCACATTTGGACCCCGTTTAGTTCACTTTTTCTGCCTTCTTGACGTTTTTGGTTGCCCGTCTCGTTGGGAAGCGCTGAGGGGATCCTGACCTTTCGCTGGGGCGGCCTCAATGAAGTGGTTGCCCCGGCGCAGTGGGGTGAGACAGGCCGTTGGTCGGACCGGGTCAGAGAGAAGTCTGCGGGAGGGGTCGGGGTGTGTCTCAACTTCCATTTGTTTAAGTTTTTTGTTTCTCCCCTCTTGGTTTTAAAAGGAAAATCGATCACTACTGGCAACATTTCCATTTTTTCCAGGGGACTTAAGCAAATGGAAGTTAAGAGTTGGGTGCTTTTTCTAGTTTTACCCTCAAAACAAGACACACCCCAATTGACGGCTGAAATTGAGGCCGCACAAATTGACAGGGCACAAATTGTCATGCACCTTTTCCCAGCTGGGGCATGTGCTGGCATTTGTGCAATTGTGTGGCAGGCAGCTCGGTATCGGATATTTTTATAGATTCTTACTGCGATCATTTCCAGCAGCACTTGTCCACAGACCTCGAGGCCGGTGCCTTAGTTGGGCAGCAAAGCCATCATTGCTTGCCTGACTTTTTTTGCACAGCACAATCTTGTATAACTACCTTTTGCCGCCTTTCACGAAAGCCTTTGCTCTGGTCCAAAATGAGCAAATCCATGAGAGGGCGCGGGTCCGTGCACTGCCTTGTTTGGAGCTTGCAGTCCTGGAGCAGAGGTCTGGACTGTCTATATCGAAGACAAGTCTGACATGGAAAGGATCGCCAGTTCAGCTCACCTGATCTTCAGCGGCAACCACCCATTGCGTCGAGCCAAGAAGGCTGCGTGTAGACGTGGGTGAACATGGACGGCGCAACCTTTGTATTTGGGTGTGTCTTTTTGTTTGCGACTACCCTATGTGAGGTGCTTCAAAAGTCAACCCTTCGGGAAAACCACCCTTCCTAGTAAAGTTCAAGTCAACCCTACAATTTGTGGCTTTTGATCATCCAGTGGTTTATATAAGTTTAAACCAACAAAAAAACCATCTTGCCACTGTTGCGATCCTAGCGGCGTTGAACTTATGACCGCAACCAAAGCGCGGCAGGTTTGTGCAATGTACCACCTCTACCCCACGGGCTTCGAAGAGCACTGCGTGCCCACCAGCGAGACTGGGGGAGACGGCGGGGCTGCGCTCGTAGATCAGAAGGCCGCGTGTTCTGAGTTCTGCGCGGGGTAACTGCTCGAGGACCCAAGTCATGGGTCAGGCAGAGCTTACCTTGGTCACCTAGGTCCCCCAGTGCCCTTTTTTACCGTTTCTTTTTCCGGGGGAGGGTTCCCCTACTAAAACAGACTACAGAGAAGAAGAAAGAAAAACATCGGGTACGCTTATTCTAGCCTCTCTACTGGAGGACCTAGCCACCTTTGGCCTTATTTTGCGTTTTTGGTTTCCGTGTCAACCAACATATTGGCTTTCTGCAGGTCCACTAGTTCTCAGGATTTGGGAAGCTGGTGATTTTCCCTGCGGAAAAGGATTCAAACGCAGAAAAGATCGGGGGGACTCGCCTTGTTTCGGTTTTCACGCTGGGTCCAATATGTGAGCCACACTGCTTTCACCAACCCCCCCTATTCATGCTTGTGTTTTGCATCTCAAGCTAAACCTTCTAAATGTGTGGAAGGCAACAGATGCTGCATGACTCTGCCGCGTTGATACTGGCAACAAGTTTTTACTTGAGCATCTTCAATTCCAAAAATTACACCGATTCCGCGAGCCAAAGCAAGGGGAATGGGACCCCCCAATTAGTTGCCACCAAGAGTCACGAGGCTGTGGCTCTGACGGGAGTGTCTGAATCAGTTGATGGCATTGGAAAATCTTCACCAAGGCTTTTGGATGCTTGCCAACTTTTCACGTGCTCGAAAAACCCCCCTCTCCCGTTGCTCCTTTGGCCTGGCCCACAAATTGGGCTGGTCTCCTTTGGTCTCTTCGCCAAATACCTCAAGGGTCGAACATTGGTTTGGTTCTCTGGTTCGCCAAATGGGTGTGGGTCAAAACCAATGCTGGGGTAGGTGCACCACCCATTTTAGTCTATTGTAGCGGGGATTGGGATGTTCACTGGGGGCTAACCAGGCTTTTGACCCATGGCCAAATGTCTACCGAATGGGATTGCTCCTTGCAGGCCTTCTTCAGAATGATGCAGGCGGTGGAGAGAACTGGCATCCCCAGCCGCTTTCCTCACGACAGCGGCTTCTACGAGCTGTTGGCATCCAAGAGATGGACCTACTACATGGCCCATGATGCTCGACTTTAGCCGAACCGGGTCCAGTGTGGTTTAGTGCGGTTTAGCGGGATATACAACCACCATTACAAAGGGTACCGCCTTTTTGGCCTCGGCGGTAGTTGTTTGGGGACAGCGCTTGCAGGGAAGCGGAAGACTCAAGCGGGGTGCCCAAGGTTCCATATTTGCAGCTGCCTGCAACGGTTGCGCTTCCTCGCATGCTCATCGAGCAGGGCAGAGGTGATTGCATGCAGGCGTGACTTATCGCTTCCTTTTTTGCAACATGCCAGCCGACATAATGTTCCAGCAAAGGCCGCAAAACATCTGTTGATTGCCAAACAAAACGTAACCGTCTCACAGGAATAAGCTTTTGTGCATTTTGCTTGGATGTTAGGACTTTAGCTTGTTGCCAACAAATGGGTTTTCCGTATTAAACCACTAAAAGTTAAACTTTTAGTAGGGGGCAGAAAGCAACCGAGTAAGACAAAAGTACACGGGCGATACTATCCTTTGATTCCTTGCCGGGTTCCCAGCCCGTCTTCCAGCGGGGTGCGAACATCGGCGAATTGAGCAGCGCCCATCCAGCTTTTGCTTCTCAATGGATATGGCCATGGGTGAAAATCGTACCCCCAGTTCCCAATCCAACCACCAAATAGGTTCTAAAATGGGTGGTGAATTCACCTACCCCAAAATGGGATCCCATTGGTTTTTACCTACAGCCATATAAAGGTTTACAAGGGCCTTCTTGTAACTCCTGTTAAACCAGGTATAAGCCTCCTATCATAGCCAATGGTTCATGGTTCCTTGCATCTCCAATATGCTCATCCAGTGACCCTTGTGGGTTCTAGCCAATGGGTTGTGGAATGCTAAACACATGACTGCCCTTTGGTGCAAGCTATCAGATCCTGTTTTGTAGAACCTCTTTTTTTTTTTTTTTTCTTCTCGGGTCCCTGAATCGGGGTTCCAACTTCTACACTTCTTTTTGTCCCAGTCTTATGAATCCTCCTTTGATGCAGCGAAAAGCATCGTCATACCTGGATCTTCCTAAGTCCGATTTTTCTGCCTTTGCGTGGGGAAACTGCTTCTTCAGGGAAGGTTGTCATATTTTTGCCTGGAGGCAATTTTCGTGAGTTTTGTTTTTTGGATGTATGCAACAAACTGGCGGAGGCGTTTTTCCCCGAGACAAAAGCATTTTTTGGCAATACAAAGGCGTTTTTTGCCGAACCCTGTTCTGGGCAGGTGTCCCAAAGGCGCTGTTTGAAGGAAACAGCGTTTTTTGATGGAAACGGCCAAAATTTATGTAATTACGGCAAAAAGCGGAAATTCTCCACTCCGGGATTTCTGGGTATGCTCCCCACGCACGCACACCCACGCACACCCACGCACACCCACGCACACCCACGCACACCCACGCACACCCTCGCACACCCACGCACACCTACGCACACGCACCTATGCGCACGTACACATGCACACGCTCACGCAAACACGCTCACCCCCCACACCCACACACACACAGACACAGACAAAGACGCAGACACGCAAACGCACGCGCACGCACACACGCGCGCGCGCACACACACGCACGCACGCACGCACGCACGCACGCACGCACGCACGCACGCACGCACGCACGCACGCACGCACGCACGCACGCACGCACGCACGCACGCACGCACGCACGCACGCACGCACGCACGCACGCACGCACGCACGCACACACGCGCACACACGCACACACATACCACACGCACGCACGCACGCACGCACGCACGCACGCTCGCACGCGCACGCACGCACGCACGCACGCACGCACGCACGCACGCACGCACGCACGCACGCACGCACGCACGCACGCACGCGCGCACGGACACACGCACACACAGACACACAGACACACGGGCACGGGCACAGGCACAGGCTCAGGCACAGCACACACACACACACATTTACCCATGCACCCACGCACCCACACGCTCACGCACCCACGCACGCATGACCACGCGCACGCATTCACGCCCGCACGCACGCACGCACCCACACACACACAAACACACACGCAGCGACACGCAGACACACAGACTCACAGACACGCGCGCACACACAGACACCAAAGCACATCACAGCACCACTACACACCACGGCACGCGCGGATGGGTGGGTGCGTGGGTTTGCTCGGGTGTGTGCCTGGGTGCGAGCGGGCGCGCGAGGGTGCGCAGTTGTTGCGCGTGTGTGGGTGTTTGGGTGTGTGTGTGTGTGTGTGTGGTGTGTGTGGTGTGTGGAGTGTGGAGTGTGGTGTGTGGTGTGTGGTGTGTGGTGTGTGGTGTGTGTGTGTGGTGTGTGTGTGTGTGCTGTGTGTGGAGTGTGGTGTGTGGTGTGTGGTGGGTGTGTGTGTGTGTGCTTTGTGTGTGTGTGTGTGTGCGTGTTGGTTGGTGTGATGTGCCGCGGTGTGTTGCGGTTTCTTTTTTCTGAGTCTGGGTGCCCTAAAAAAACAAGACATATGTCCAAGCACCAATGGGCTGCCCTCTTTTTTGTTTGGATTGTTGGTTGGTCCGGTGTGGTTTCCTATTTACGCTTTACACAACAACTTGTTCGGTACCCTCCAAGAAAGGACCTTTTCCCTGTGAAAGAGCACAAAACGAATTGGTGGTTTGGATTGATGGCGAGATTCGAGACGGTTTCCCATCTAAGTCTTCAAAGGAAAACAGCACGGCAAACAAGCATCTCGAGATCAACCAATCGCAGCGGACATTCTGTGGATGGGTGAGTTACCACCCAGTACTCAGGTCACAGGGTTTCGACCGTCCCAACATCCGCTGCATCTCAAGACAGGATTCTCTAATGTTTTCCCTTGAAACATCACTCACAAGCCCTTGCTGGGCAGCATTTTGGGGGGCAGCCCATATAGGGCTTTATCCCTGGAAGGGCAGAGTCCAAGAAATCAACTTGCCTGTCCAGCATGATGTCTGCAGAATTGGTTTTGATTACCCTTTTTTTTTTTGCTTGCGAGCCGGCTTTTTGGCAATTCAGCATGCGTATTGTTTTCAGGAGCTAAATCAAATTCTGGACCTTTCCCGATTTCCCTTCGCAAGTTCCCAGTTTGGGGTAGGGATCTAAGATCTAAGGGACGTTGGCTAAACCAAAATGGGGGTGTCTTTTCTTAGGTGTTCCTTTTGCCTTTTAAAAATGAATGGGGGACCGAGCCTCAAAAAAGACGAGCCACCAAATGTGGGAATTGTGGCATTTGTTATCTATTTGTAGCGAGCCCGGTCCAAAAAAGAGGGCCTGACATGCAGATTGTCCAACCTCTGCTTGGTTTGGACCCTCCTTTTTTTGGACATGGACCATCTTTGGGAGGAAGGCAATGCAATTTGTGGCGATCTCAGCAAATCCAAAAACAAGATTCAGTGTGCCTAAATTTCATGACCGACGTACTTTCTACATACCAGGGCTTTTGGTCTCCCCAAGTGATCAAACTGGCAAGTTCCAGTGAAACCATCGCATCACATTTGAAGAAACTAAACAAATGAGACATTCCCAAGAAACCATCTACCCACAGCCCTGTGTTTGAACGCTTGCTCCAACATGCCATTTAGCGTTCTTTGGTGAAATCCAAGTCCAAGCCAATCCAAACCACATTGGCTCCCTCTAGTGAAATCCAAAACCAATCCAAACCACAAGTCCATTTAGCTTTCTCTGGTGAAATCCAAACCACAAGGGAAACTTTGCATTTTGCTTGGATGTTAGGACTTCAACTTTTTGCCAACTGGGTTTTTTTTTCCGTGTTAAACCGCTAAAAGTTAGAAACTTTTAGCAGGGGAGCAGATTTCGCAACCGAGGAAAGGCCATGCCAATTGTTGGGATCTGTCGCTGGCAGGCGGCGAGCTGGGCGTGTGAAGCCTTGAAGGCCTGCCGCGAGAAGCAGCACGCGCTCAGGGGCGAGAGCTGCTCAGGACCGGCCACCCGCGTGCGGCTTTTTTTTAAAATTTGCGGGCTGGGAGTGGAGGAAATTTGAGCCCGGAAAATAGATTTTGGCTGCTCTTTGGCAGAATGTCGGATCTTGAAAGTTTAACCGTTGTTTGTTTTTGGAAATTCGATCAAGTAGAGTATAAAAGTCGAGTAGTTGTCTTGAAGCTTTACTATGAGTCGGCTAAACATCTCGCTTTTTTGGCTTGCAGTCTGTTCGGATCTCAAAGAGTTGGGAAAAGGTGAGCTCGTTGCCAAACATGTCTATGTGTATTTTCCCGTTTGCACATGTGTACGACCAATACCCTCCAGAAGTGTTGGTGCATGGCATTCTGATGGCCAGCAAAGTCATATCCATTCAGATGCTTGGCGGAAGCTGCTTCCCATAGGCGTCCTTTTTAGGTGATTTTGGCTAGAAATAAATGTGTTCCACTGGTTTAGGTTGGTTTGATTCCATTGACCAGGGCCATCTATTTTCCCAAAAAGACACCGTTTCAACCTTCTACATCAGCTTTTGAGTAGAAGGGGATTCTCAGCTGTTTGAGTTGAACTCAGGCAAGGATTGCATGTTGTTGTTTTCATTCAATGATGGCATCCCTTCACTTTGCATTTCTGCACAATTGCTTGCTTGGAGTGCCAAGCATTTGTCGGGTGAAGCACTGGACACCTGCAATTGGTGGCCTCTTGTGTTGAGGTTGCTCGCCATGATGAGCAGCTATCCGCCTCGTTTGTAGCTGAGACTAGCTTCTTATTGGCCATTTCCGTGGCTTCTGCCTTGAGCCGCTTGTTTCTTGGGGGCAAGCCGCGTCGGCTCTTGCGGGTAACTCGTCGCAAAAAAAGTGTTTTTCCCAGGTGAAGTCACCAAGGGTGTAGCCAAGCTGGGCTTCTCCTGGGAAGCTTTGGACGTGAAGTTTTGGGAAGGCGCGGCATTTTTCTCGCTGCCGGGGATCGGATGCATTCCGATCGATTTCAGACGTCTTCCGCGCGCCGGAGATGACTGGCATTCTACCAGATGTTTGCCCGAGCTGTTGCACAGCCAACTGTGGCACAGCGTGTGGAAAGAAGAGGAAGGGGAGGAGATAGAGCTGAGGAGTGAAGAGTGCAAGTAGTTTTAAGAGAGATGATGCGGACTCCAGGCACAAACTAGAGATGTGATGTTCCAGGTCCAGGTGTTGCTTGTGCATGCTAAGCACATCACATGCTCAGCAACTCTACTTAGCATGGGTTGGGTTGTACATCCATGGATTCAATTCCTAGATCAAATGTTGGCTGGACGGACGTGTCGTAGACGTGTCGTACACTGCTATACTAGATAAGGGTGTGGCTCAAAATTTAGCAGGAGGGGTTACGCAGGGTTTGGTCCATGTTTCCACTTCCCAGGCTTCCATTTGGGTACCGGGTTTTTGAGCCACTGCCATAAGAGTGGCTCGCAATGTTTGACATTGGAACGGCCATGCGGTGGGGCAGCGTACTAAGTATCGGCCTTGCGCGGAGCTTTTTTCGCCCACACTCGCGCAGCTTTGGTCAGGTATTCGTTGCCCGCTTGCTAGCTCCACATGTTGCGGACAAATAGTCAATAGGGTAAAGGTCAAAATTACGCCACCAGGCCCCAGATTGCAGTCCATGTCTCCATTTACCAGGGTTTCATTTTGGGTACCGATTTTTCACCCACAGCCATGTAGTGTCATACTCTGTAGTAAATTGATGACATTGCGAGTAGCTGGGGGTGACTCGCCATGTCACTTGGGAGCTGTGTAGTATTGACCACTCTAGCTTCTAGCCGCCTCGCTACCCTGTGCCTGTGCTCTGTTGTGCCTGTCCACCCCACCTAGAAGCTCCCTTGTTTTCCCCAAACCTTTAAAAGAATGACCTTGATTTACGACCTAGTCGTATATGAACTATCTCAGGAACATTTGAGCGAAAATCTGGCCGTCATGTAATGTTGGGTCTGCTTTAATACCCCCCCGCCCCCCCAAACAGCGCCAGCGGTCGTTTGAGGCTGTTTTTGGGGCTGGGTTGGACTTGGATTTGCCAATACTTAATTTAGCATTGCTAATTCCAACCTACATATGGCCAAGAGGTACTCTTCGATTCCGTGTACTTTATCCAGTATTGCCACTTCTAAATTTAGTATTGCCGAGACTTACTCTCTGACGCCCACCCCTTCCTACATCTGGAGCGTAGGAAAGCGAGTGAAGGGAATGGGCCCACCTCCGTCCGCTCTCTTCATTCACCATCTCCCGCCTGCCAGCTAATTCCCAAGGAGACTCAGAAATTGGATGGTGAGAAGAGATGGTGACTGAGAGGCGAGGGGAACAAGCTGGCTGACCAGAGATGCTTCCCTCGCACACTCTCTCACAAATGAAGGTTGACCGTGTACGCACGCATCATTCTAAGTTCAGCCGCCAGTCAATCTCTTCATGCTATGCCTTCCAAACAAAAACCAAAGATGAAGATATGAAGATGACATGAGAATTAGAATGAGGAATGGCATGAAATTGATAGCTCTTGGAAACACCGACAGGCGAGCGACTCAAGATGAAGGAAAATATGGAACAAAAGGGAAATGCGGAATGGACAAGAAGCAAAATCATGCCAATCCTTTGCCTTTCATTTCCTTCTTTCCTCTTTCCTTCTCTTGTCAGAATTCTTGGGATCTGTTGTCTGGTGGTCGGACTATCCGTGAGAAATGGACAGGGGCAAGAGAGAAAGAGAGGCATTCATGTTTCATCCCTTTATGATTTCCTTTTACGAATAATTAAATCTCCGGGCAAAGATCCCAAAGGAAAGCGAGTTAGCAAGCAGGCTGCCTCTGTAATCTCCCATTCTCGTTGCCCGGTTAATTGTCAATATTTATGGCCGTGAGTTCCAGACCAGAGAATTCCCATCGCTTCACTCACCACTTTTTCAAATCTGATTTGTGTTCCTATTGTTTTCCAGTTTCGTGCAAATATTTGATGTTGAGAATAGAAGGGAGATGGAAATGCAAAGATTTCAAGGACGCCCATCTTCCTTACCTATATCTCTTTTAGTTGTATATCTTGGAGTGTAATCATCCTACCTCAGCCCTCACCAATAGAATGGTTGTATCCGGGGTGGCTTAGAGACCAGTCCAAGCGCTGCATTCATATGTTGGTTGCGGTTTTCTCCTGCTATTCGTCATCCTTTGGTCAGTTCGCAAGTGAGGGAAGGGTGCCATCTCTTCATCCTGTTCTCTCTCCACCATTCCCTCAAAAAGCAATCTCCAAGGATGATGAATTGGCGATGACGAGAAGAAATGGAGAGAGAAATAGAAAAGACAGAGGACACAACAATTCCTAAGCTTTTCTCGTTTGCAATGTAATGCTTGGGGATTTGAGGGCCATCCTTCCTGTCACTTACCATCTCAGCCTTCGTCCCTTTCTTTACCCAAAATCAAGATGTAGGTGAGAGCCGAACATGGGATGAGATGCAGAGATGTAGGAAGGGAATGATAGGTGATAGACAAATGGACAAGCGGTAGATGTCCTTGAGTTCCCATTCCCTTCATACATTTGTTCCTTTCCTCATCCTTTCATTTTTCTCGCTCACCATATTAATTCTCGTTTCTCCTTGACTTTCTAATGATGGAGAGCGAAGAGAAGGATGAGAAAGGAAAAGAGCAATCACCATCTACTAAAAAGTAGCTGGAGTTGTTGTGGTCCCCACAGCACGGCGTGAAAAGTACCAGTGGTACCCAGGAGCCCCAGCTTTCATGGCTCGGCCAGGTGTTAGACTGTCCGAGAAACATCGCTTTGCTCCATACCATCGTCTGTCTACGAAGAAATATAAGGACAGATGGCCATCCAGGTCTTTTCATCCCGCCCGCTCCAGTTTAATGTTCATTGATTGGGAGCGGCATGACAGGAAGAATATCTTCACCTGCGAGCAGGAAAGAATGGCATGGACGTGGATTCTGGAGTCTCTAATCCTATGCCCATTCCTTTCCTCAATCCTTGCCTTTCCCATCTCTTGCCAGCTCCGCTCATGCATGATATAAAGGGATAGAGCTGGAGAGAAGGAAATATAAGGAAGGAGCCCTCATATGCGTCTTGTCCATTCCTCAGTTCCCTTGTCTGTCGAGTAATTCTTGTATCTTGGACCTCTCCGCCAGTCGATGGAATTCCTTGATTGGTGGTCCACGAATACACGAATAGACGAATGAAAGGATGCGGTTTAGTGATGGATTCGGGCGAGTGAGAGCGAGAAATTCGGGGCCCTGTCCGGTGGGGAAGTTTCCCAATGCTTCCGTCTCTCAGGGCCCTCGCCCAGCATATTGACTGAAGAGTCCCAGAGGCGAGAAGGGGAGAAGAGAGAAGCTATCGGCCAGCTCACTTTCCTATGTTATTTTCGGCCGGCGGTGTGATCCCAAGTCTAGGTCCCCCAGCTAGGTGCCCTGTTGCCAACTTTTTTGGGGGAGGGTTCCCCGACTAAAATAGACTACAGAGAAAAGGGTACCCTTATTTCTAACCTCTCTGAGGGCCTATGTTATTTTCGGCTGGCGTGATCCCAAGAGTCCAAGAGCAGGAAAGAAGGACACGGGATTCTTGGATCTTCCTTGCCTGGCGGTTGAACTCAGAGAATGAGTCGCTGGGACTCGTCTGTTTGCATCCATTGGCTCTCAACGTTCATTCTGGTCCAACAGATGATTGACTGATGGGACATCCAATGGCGGGTGAAGGGTGAGACAGGAGATGGACTTTGGACAAGGGTCTTTCCGTCTTTCCCCTTCTTTCCACAGCGCCTGACTTGCCCCTTCCCTGTCTCTCTCACATCTCTCACATCCATCCCTCGCTCTCTCCTTCTGAACACGGCTAAGAATCCAGTGAATGGGACGGAAGACAGGGAAGGGAGAAGGCAAGGGACAAGGGAGAGCGGAAGAAAGGAAGGCAGCTTGGAAGGTGAGTGAATGGCATTCTCCGGGTCACATCCTCTTGTTATTCCTAGCTTGTCATGTTCTTTGTTTCACTTTCTCTTTTCCTTTATCACCAGCTCGCATTCCCTTTGTTCTGATGCATTTGAAGCTGGGATCCATGCTTGTCTTTGCCTTCTTTCATGCCTTTCCTTTCTAATTTGTCTCTTACTCACAGGTTCAACAATTAAATCCTGCATGGACATACAATTCGCTCACAAGGAACAGGATGAAGAGATAGGGAAAGGATGGGAAGAAGAGATGGCACACAATCATCCCTCTCCATTATTTTTGTCCTCGCTTCACAACGCCCAAAGCAGCATAAATGCTGGGGAAAGAGATGAAGAGAAGAGCTGGAGATGGAGAGGGAAGGGAGGTGAATGATATTACATCCTACCTGGCGATGGAAAGGTCCTAAAGTAGCAAAGTTCCTTGACCGGTAAGCTCCGTCCAGCATCCGCGGGGTAAGGACTTCCCAGCTGTCACCGGCAAGTCGCCCCTGAAATACAAATCATCCTTGAGCTCCAGGAAGCCACCGACCTGACAATAAGACTCTGAGCACCTTCGCGTTTCATCCATTCTCCTCCCGTCCCTTAGGAGGCAGCGGGAAGACTCTGGATTTTTTCCCAATCCTTCTTCTCGTCCATTTTTCCTTTCCTTCTTCTTCCATCGTCGTCCACACATTCCTGTCTTTATCTCTTTGCCATTTGGTGCAGGAATGGATGAAGAGATGGAGATGGAAAGGAAACAGGGAAGAGTTAATGAATAGAGAGAGTGAGCTGGGGAACGCCCGGAAGGGGCGGTGGTTACTCCCAGCCACAAAATCTTAGGAAATGCCGCCAGACGATTCTTGTCTCTGAGATCTCCGCTCCGCCAAAACCTCTCCACAGCTAATAGTCTCAGGCTAGGCTAGTCTCTCCGCAAGATGCTTACCTTGGATTACGCAAGAAAACGGTTCCCTTTGTAGTGGTTTCCCGACAACAAGGGAAAATTGGCTATCCCAAACCATTTTGAACAGTCTGCAATCTCTGCCCAAAGCTCAGGGGTGTGTCAGCGTGTCAGCTTGGGAGGGTTCCGGAGGGATCCAGGAGATTCCACTTGGGCGAATTTTCAAGTAGCATAATACGGACAGAAGATAAAACAGAGATATGGGTGTTGCGGTTTTGCCTTCAAAATCATTTTGAACCTTTAATTCAATGTGGTTGTTTTGTGTGGTTCCCTTTTCAGAAAGGGCTGAGTTCCAACCCAAGAAGCGACGCACGTCGATGGCCAATCGCCGCTTTGAGCGCTTCGGCTAGGCCAGCGCGGCCTTGCCACGGCCCTGTCACAGCTAACCCAGGCCGGCCGGCTATGGCGCCAGGGGTTGCTTCCCCATTCTGTTCAATCATCGTTCTTTTCAATCACTGCTGTTATCCCTTTGTTTCTGGAGGTTTTCTGGAAGGAAGGATCCTTGGAAAGAATGGGGAAGGTACCCAAAGAATGGCGTTCGTTCCGATTGCTTGAGCAAAGGCCAACGTGTCTGGCGAGATCGGTAGGAGAAATGGAATGAACCCACCGGTTGGATGGTTTGCAAGGTTTATTTTCTCATTCCCTTATGGTTGATTGGGGGAGGAGGACCCTGGAGATCTCCATTTATGGTGACCCATTGCCTTTTTTCAAGGGAAGACTAGAGAAATGAAATCGGGGGACCCCCCCACCCCCTTCCCCAGAAGGTACCGGGATGTTCCGTTTGCTTGCAAAGGCCAATGTGCGTAGCATCCTAGAACAATTTGTCCGAACCCATTTATTAAGTCATCAGAACTCCTCCAAGGGGTCATCCAAGCTGTAACTGGTGGCTCATGATCCAGAGCATGGACAAATCCATTTCGCACCACCGTTCAGAAACTCTCAAATGATGATTGGCCTGTAAATGCCAACCAACGTTTAGGTTTCCCTTGGTCTCAAAGTGGTGCGAACGGATTTCGTCCATCCACAGGTTATCACCCTCAGTAGTCCATGATCGAATTAGGACCTCTTACGCCCCTGAAAGGTTCTCAGAACCTAAGGTTCTAAGACCCCCCGGAAGGGGGTCAAGGGCGGGACACTGTTTGTTCGTTTTTATTATGACTACTAGTATTACTAGTATTATTACTCTCTTTTTTTAATATTTTATGCTTATTTTCTCAACAATTTGACAGGCCTGGGCTCGCCCACGTTTTCGGTTTATTCGGGTGAAGGAGCTTGTGGTGATGGCTTCAAGCTTTATGGACTGCATCGCGTGTTGCGCCACGTGTGTCATGCAGCCCATGTTGACATGTGGATGTGCCTAAGGCTGTCCTCCAGGCGATCGCGGCATTCCTTTTGCTTGCGTTTTGGAACTAAAGAAGGGGACAGAATAGGGAGCTCACCTCAACAGTAGGTGAATCCCCACCTAAATGATGTCCAGTACTTCATGAAATTTGCACCTATTTCTGAGAACCACCCAGCTCCGAGTTTTCTGTCTGCATCGTGTCCAAACTCAGAATTGATCTGGTTTCAGCTCGCTACATTCCACCCTATTCGTGTTTTCCTTTCTGTCTTGTAGTTCTTGCAAGCTTCATCTTTGTCTCTCTCTCTCTCTCTGTGTCTGTCTCTTTCTCTATCTGCCTCTCTCTCTCTCTCAGTTTCTCTCACTCTCTCTAATGTGTGTTTTCCCTTTCTCTCATTCTTGCACTGTCCATAGGTGTCCTTTTTGGTTGTTTTGGTAGAAAAATAGATGGCCCTAGTTTCATTGGTTTCATCATCCACCAGGGCCATCTATTTCCCCCAAAAGGACACCTAGGGCACTGTCTCTTGCAGGTCATCGAGATCTCGGATGAGTTGACTGGACAGCCTCACGACTTAGAAGCTCTGATCATCCAAGAGTTCGTGGAGCATGACTTGGAAGCCCGCCTCTACGTGGTCAACGGCGAGGCCCGGTTCAGAGCCAAGAGACACAATCTTCACGTTAGCCACATGGATGCGGGTCAAAACCGTTTTGGGAGCCCATTTTGGGGGATTGGTGCACCACCCAGAATAGAACCTATTTGTGTGGGGATTGGGATATTCACTGGGGGTACGATTTGGCTTTTGACCCATGGCCAAATAGCTCAATCTTTGATCTCCCCAAAGGAAGCCAACCAATTGGACTATGCAGTTCTCTCCCGGACCCCAGACGAAAAACACCTGCAAAAAGTGGAGAAAGGTGGAAACCATCATCTACACGAAGTTCTGCAAGATCAAGCCGAACAACGAGTTTGGCGACTTCAAGGCGCGCCCAACCCGAAGAATTGATAATCCTTGGGTCTTTGAAGGTGCTCTTTTTGGGTTAGTTTAAAGTGACATCAAAAGGGTGCTACTAAGCACAAGCATTTTGTCTCATTTCCTGAGTTCCTGGACTTTAGTCGCTTTTTGGGTTTTGACCGTTGTGGTGAAGAACAAGCTTTGACGTGCAGTGTGTGGGTTGCCTCATTAGTTTGAGACGCTTATCCATCGTCGCCAGTTTCCGAGGATGACCATGGTCAAAATCCAAATCGTACCCCCAGTGAGCATCCCAATCCCCACTAAAATAGACTAAAATGGGTGGTGCACCTACCAACCAAAATGGTATTCCATTGGTTTTGACCCACAGCCAGATATCCAACTTATGACCTTGAAGGTAACAATGCGATCGCATCCAGGCGTCTCCGGACTTGATCGCTATTTGGATCTTTAGACTTGAACCTTTTTGGTTGAAATCAAGGATTTCCCGAATGGAACCCACGAGAAGTGAATATTTTTTGGCCGAGTCAACTGCAACCAAGTGGATTGCAAGAAACAGATACCACAAGTCTTGACCATCTGCTCGCATTGACAGGAGGCCTTCAGTTCCGAAGAAGCTGGTCAGTGGATGGATGGGGATGTGGCAACTTTGAAAGATGGCGAGCGCCAGTGCAGGCATGTGTCATGCTTTGGGATTGGCCACTGAATGAAATCCTCCGGGAGCTCGTGCGGCGGTGCATGCCTTTGTTCATCCACGTGTTAATGTTACAAGGCTGCCTGAGCACGCCTGGGCACTTTTCAACCAAACACGACACGCTCGTTTGTGCATGTCTACAATGTAGTCCAGATTCGTCTTCAAGGTGGCTGTGGGTCAAGACCAATGGTACCATTTTGGGGTAGGTGCACCACCCATTTTAGTTTTTTTTTAGTGGGGATTCTGATGTTCACCAGGGGTACGGGATTTTGACCCATGGCCAGGTGACGGACGCTGTAGGTACCCTTTTCGTAACAGCAACTTGCAAGACAACGCCTTTACTACAGTAAGCCCTCCCAGTAGATCCCAGCTTCCAGTATAGTCAGTCAGCCATTTTCCTTTTGGTGTTAGGGTTGGTGACCTATAGCACAGATGGCTGTGGGTCAAAACCAATGATCCCATTTTGGGGTAGGTGCACCACCCAATTTATATAGTCTATTTTAGTGGGGATTGGGATGTTCACTGGGGGTACGCGATTTTGACCCATGGGCACAGCCGGATCAACGGATTCACTGGGCATGTCGTGCTTTGTTTGACTGCTGCCGTGCATTTTGCCCAAGCTGACCTCAAGTACTTCACCTCGCCCACACACACACACACATTCATTGAAGTCCATTGACACAGGGTGTTCGGCATTTGGTCTGACCCGTGTCAAACCAGGATCTTGTCATGTGTGTCGTTTGTTTAGCTTCTGCAGGTCCGAAAATGAACCCGACTTGGTGGCTCCCAGCCATCCGGTTCCTTAGCCTTTTAGCCTTTTAGCTTTTTAGCTTTTTAGTGGTAGTTTCCATTTGGGTATGGGTCAAAATTAAACCACCAGGAATCGGACCGCAGGTTTTGGTCCATTCCATTTACCTGGGCAAGCCATTTTGGGGTTACCCTATTTTTGACCCGCAGCCATTTGACCCACGAAAAACTCGTCACTTTCGGAGGATCTGAGGGCAGCAGATTTTTATTGCGTCCGCCAGGGAGATCGCAGCGCACTGGATGGATTGGGTGAGATCGCAAACCTGCCAGACGCCTCCAGGACGGAAGCAACCGAAGCATGCTTCCGTTTCAAACTCGTTTGGAGGGGACAGACTGCGTATATCATAAAGGTGTCCTTTTTAAGTTTGGTCGAAAAATAGATGGGTTTCCCTGGTTTACCTGGTGGTTTCATCATCCACCAGGGCCATCTATTTCCCTAAAAGGACACCTATGTGTATATGCGCACACGAGTTTTATCCAATCTGACTAGCCGTCCAAAAGAGACATGGAATCTGCAAGGGACGCAGGCCATAGGGACCAGATTCCATGTTGACCACCAGGCATCCGCTTCGACTTCTTCGTGGGGCGCACGGCTGCGCCGGGGAAGGCCTGCGTGCGGACGCTGGAGATCTGTGAGCTGGGCTTCAGCATGCTGGGCAAGCAGGAGCCAAAACCCGAATCGAAGTTCGAAGTTCGAACTTCGGGAATCCGATTTTTGTTTCAATCCGACGTCACGGTTTCGCCAGAATTTGTTGACACCAGGTAGTTGGTCCTGGAGTCAAGGGACCCCCCGGCGTCCTCCATGTACGAATGCTAGCTAGGTGGACATGAATAAAATTGTGGTGCACGAAAATTGGGTGGTGTCCCAAAGTGAAGGATGCCCTCTCAAATGGGTCACACATTTTAGGGGTTTATCCATCTGAGTGTTTTGACAAGCCTCAGGATTTGGCCCCTAAGGAAACCCAAAGAAACCCCAACATG